ACTACCGAGAAGGCCCTCTGCCTGGTTCCCTATAACCTCACTTCTCACAATGAGGGAACTGCCAGAAGGCCCTCGGCACAACGATGGGGGTGGAGACGCTCCTTTGGGTATACTGTTTAGCAGTGCAACAGACTCCCTCAGAAGGTGGTGGACTCTCCTTCATTGGAGGCACTTAAAGAGAGGTTGGGCGGCCATCTGTCAAGCATTTTTTAGCTGTGACTCCTGCACTGCAGGGGGCTGGACTAGATGACCCTCAGAGTCCCTTCCAACTCTGGAGTTTTATGATTCCATGAAAACAGCAGATCCTATTACAGTGAGCATGGTCATCTCATCATTATTCAACATTTCTGTGCATCCCAAAACAGTTGTCCACAATATCCCATGAGTTAATGAAAGGCTGTACAATTTATTTATTTATTACTGGGACACATATTCAGTAGCTTTATCCAACATAATATGGAATTCATTTGCTTCTGGGCCTTCCCTTTGTGCTTTAATCTCATAAGGGAGGTTTTCCACGACTGCAATCTGTCAGACTTCATGGAACCACAACCCAAACAAATTAGAATGAGAGGTCTTCCAGCAATTTGCCGTTACCATCCTAGCTGCTGTTAACATAAGAAGATATTTGAAAAAGCTATGTTTCGTATTGCGTTATCAAATATCACCAATAAAGCCTTTTGTGGGCGGATTTATAGATCTTAAAAGTCTACAGTTGCAGCCAAAGGCTGCACCAGCAGAAGGCTGCTCACTATCATTTTTATGACACTTCACACATCCAGATGGCTTTATAGTTTTTACATTTCTACAAACAGGTCTTCGCTAAAGATTGCAGTGCACTGTGCTGGAGGAGGCTGGTTGAGAGGGCACCTCCACTCATTCCAATCCTTCCCTTTCCAGCCCAGTGTAAGGGGGAGTTGCATACCCTCCAACATTTCTCTGATGGAAATAGGGGCATCCTATTCAACCACAACAATTTTATTGTTTATACCTATCCAGCCACTCTGGGCGACTTCCAACATATATAAAAACAGAACAAAACGTTAAAAACTTCCCTATACAGGGCTCCCTTCAGATGTCTGCTAAAGGTTGTATAGTTACTTATCTCCTTGGCTCAGGGGTTGCATAACCCTATATTCCCTAATATTTCTTCGATGAAAATAGGGACGTCCTACCATACCCTCCGACATTTCTCTGATATAAATAGGGACATCCTAAGGGAAAGCAGGACATTCTGGGATCAAATCAGAAACCAAGACGGCTTCTGTAAATCCAGGACTGTCCCTGGAAAATAGGGACACTTGTCAGGTCTGGAGTTGGATTGCTCTGCAATCATTTTGGCTGCAATCTTATACACTAAGCCCACAATTTATGTGGGGGGTTACATTCCAGGGATTGCGCCTCAAGCCAAAATCGGGTATAGTCAAAACACATTGGGTTCAATTGTGGGTGGGATTGCAAAAATAAAAATAAAAATCATGGACCTGCTTTACAAATCAATCATGATTGATTGATTGATTGATTGATTGATTGATTGCCAAGCTGAATGCACACAAGTTAAATGTGCGTAAATTGCAGGCTTACCATACTCACTTACACTGGAGTAAGTACTATTAAATCCGAGGCTCTCAAGACATCTCCCAGTATTTAGCTTCAACTATGGAACAGCATCAGGGTGTCCTTGGAAGATTCATTGGCTCAGATAGATAGGCAGATGTTAGCCAACTGAAAGGAATTATTCTTTACATCTTCTCTGTTTTGTGTCCGTGAAACCAGGATGAAATGGAAAGCCAAGTCCATTTTTCAAAGCCTTTACCTGTCATATTTCTCTGGCACTGGATTTATGAAGCAGTTGGTTCCCTAACTCAGCAGCGTCTGTGCCAGACAAATTAAATTTGATAATCCCAAATTCCACTTTCAGTATGGTGCATTAGGCCCCAAGTCTTTGATCTCATTCCTAAACACCTTAAGCTCCTGGGTGTGCAGCACCAAGGTATTTACACTTTCATAGCAACAGTAACCCCAACTATATATATATATATATATATATCCTCAATCCAAAACTGGATCTGATTGAGACTATATGGCTGAAGTTTGAATCCTATGCCCATCAGGTGGAACAAGTCCCACTGAACTCATTTGGACTTATTTTTGAGGAGGCATAAACAGGATCTGCCAAAACATGACATGTTTAATGTGAGCAGAGAGAGTGACATGAAAACTGCAACTGCAAGCTGTTTGCTAGCAATCTGTAACGTGAGATAAATTTAACTTGCAGCCACAGCCTCCATTCACACAAGGAAGGCTTCCCTGCAATTTGCTCATTAACAGGCCAGCTAAAAACTCAGCTTGTTTCCCTTTTTCTACATTTGCTCGGCTTCTGTGTTCATAATGAGGCAAGGCTGTGGCAGCACTTTAGTAACAAAAGGCTGCGATTCGCTTCCCTGCAAAGATCAGTTAAATGCTCCCAGTGTTTTCATGATTAAACAAATGAATGTCACAAAGTGTCTTTTTCAGAACTCAGATAAAGGGGTATTGGGAGGCAGGAAGGAGGGTGGGGAAAGGAGAAGGCTGAAGGAAGGGTGAACACCAATAAACGCCATCTTCTTTGGCAAGCATGTCCAAAGTATCAATCTAGCATCAATCTAGTGCTCATGCTACACCAGTGTGGAGTAGTGGTTAGAGTTTCGGACTAGGACCTGGGAGACAAGAGTTCAAATCCCCACTCGGAGCTCACTGCCTCTCAGCCTAACCAACCACACAGGGTTATTGTGGAGATTAAATGAGGACGGAGAAAACCATGTATGCCACATTGAGCTCCTTGGAAGAAAAAGATGGGATATAAATGAAATGAATATATAAGCATAATGTAACGCATATGGGGCCCTTATTTTTATATTGGGTTTAATCCAAGCTAAGTACGTCAAACGTGGGTCCCATTGAAATCAATGGGGCATGTTGCTCATGTCTTGTTTTAGTTCCCATTGGAATCAGTGGAATGTCAAGCTCCGCTAACATAGGCCCCATCTGCACTGAACATTTAAAGCAGTGTTATATCATTTTAAAGAGACATGGCCTCCCCCAATGAATCCTGGGAGCTGCGGTTTGTTAAGGAGGCTATGGTGACCCCATTCCCCTCACATAGCTACAATTCCCACAGATTCCTGGTGAGAGAGATTGACTGTTAAACCACTCTGAGAATCGTTGTCCTGTCCTGTCCTGTCCTGTCCTACCAAAACCTTTCTCTGGCCCTGCACACACACACCTGAACCCCCCCCCCCAAAAAATGCCTTTTAACATGTGGATGAAGAGACATCAGGCTTGAGGGATCTACCTTTTTTTGTTTACTAGTACCCTGAGAACCACAAACTAGAGCCTAGTGCCAAAGGCACAAGGAGGCAGTTCCATTAGCACAAAGACTTTTGGGTCACACAACAGAATTGCCCCTCCGTCTCCCCTCCCTGAGTGCTTCCTGCCATTTTTGTCCTGGGTTTACCCCCTCCCAACCCTCTGGAGCAGATCTGGGGAGGGCACAGGGGTGCGTGGAGAGGGAAGAGGCACAGATGGAGATCCTTAAGCCAATGGAACTACTTTTTTGGATACCCCCTACAGACTAAGAACTAAAGATTTCTGCGATCAGGGGGTTATTTGGAACACCAACACAGTTCACAGCCCTTCCACCCAAAAAGCTACTCCTAGTTACCGTAAGCTTTCTTCACTCCAGTAAAATAATTTAAGGTGCCGTTGGGGCATTTTGTTGTTGCTCGTGTTAAGTGAAGTGAGAAATCCTTGCCAGGAAGTCACTCAGAGACCTATCAGTAGATCCAGATCAACCCATCACTTTTTTTAAAACACACACGCACACTTCTCAAAGTCATGCCAGTCACAGCAGGTGGAGTGGAAATGGATTAGACAATTCCACGGAGGATAAATCTTACAACTATAATAGTTAAATGGAACTTCCATGGACAAGGACAGTATACCTCTGTGTACTAGAAGCTCATGAGTATCCAGAGGTTACTGGCTAGTCACTGTTGGAAACAGAATTCTGGATTGGATGGATTTTGGACTAGTGGCAGATAAAATGATGGATGGGAATGAGAGCTGGCTTATTCTTACTCCCCATCCATCATTTTAACCTGGGTAAGGGCTGTAGCAAAGTGGTAGAACACTTGTTTGGGGAACAGAACATCCCAGGTTTGATTCCCTGACATATATGTATAGTACTTGGGTTACAGGCGCTTCAGGTTACAGACTCCGCTAGCCCAGAAATAGTACCTCGGGTTAAGAACTTTGCTTCAGGATAAGAACAGAAATCGTGCGGCAGCGCAGCAGGCCTCATTAGCTAAAGTGGTACCTCAGGTTAAGAACAGTTTCAGGTTAAGAACGGACCTCTGGAATGAATTAAGTTCTTAACCTGAGGTACCACTGTATCTAAAAGCATCCTCTGAAGAGCTCTTCTGGATCCCCTCAGAGGTGCATCCCCTATTGCTGCATCCTCCTCACAATGGCCAACCCGATTCCACAGTCAACTGAACAGCCAAAGCTGTGGTCTCGGGTGCAATCCTTGGCACCATCACCAGGTGGCGCTGAAAAAGACCTCTGTGTACAATCCCCGAGAAGAGCTACCAGGCATCCTCTACAACACGGAGCTATTTAGATCAATGGCCTGACTCCATATAAGGCAGCTTCCCTTGTTCCCATGCCCATGGGAAACCCCAAACAGGACAGGAGCACCACAGGAACCCACTCCCACATTCAGTCAGGCCATCAGGCCATCTAGCTCAATATTGCCTTCACTGACTGGCAGCACCTCTCCCAGATTTCAGACAGGGACCTCTTGCCAGACCTACCTGGAGATGCCAGGGGAATGAACTTGGGCCCCCTGGCACGCAAAGCAGATGAGCGAGCCACGGCCCTGGCCCCTCCATCTGGTTAGAAAGAGCCCGGATTGATTGCTGCTGCCGGTCAGAACCGACAACACTAGGCTCGCCCAATCGATGGCGTGTCCGGCGTTGGTGGTACAAAGGCAGCTGTGCTGCTTGCGAAGCGCAGCTAGCTGGCCGCTTGCAGAGCGCGGTCCCGAGCAGCCCCTTAGGCCCCGCCACTCCAGCCAGCGCGAACTGGCAGCGTCGGACCCGGACTGGGAAAAGGCTTTCGCTTCCCATCCGAGCTGCTTCGCGGGGCAGGGGGAGGCGGAGAGAGGAGGAGGAGAAAAAGAAAAAGAGCCGGGGGGAAACAACAACAACAACACACCTAACCACAACCTCGAGGCAAGTGCCAAGAACCCTCGCTAGGTGGGCATGAAAAATCACTGCAGAAGCGGCGGCACCAGGCAGGATTCAATTCGAAGGCGAGCCGGGGAGCCTCTAGCCGGCTTCGCTGCGCCCAGGCTCTTCCCACACTCCGGCGCCCCCTCCCTCCTTTCGCATGCCGCCGCTGCTGCTGCTGCTATCCCGCCGTGCCCTCCCCTCCCCTCCCCATCCCGGGAGTCCTTATCCCCCCCCTCCCCGTTCATTCTCCTCCCCTCCTCCCTCCTCCCGCCGCCGCCGCTTCCAGGCTCTGCAGGGTTGATGGACAGCTGAGGATCCGCTACTCCGGCGGCGCGCTGGGCAAAAAAACAAACCAACCCCGAGAGACAGGGAGCCAAAGAATCTGGACTACTTGCAGCGGCAAAGGAGGGAAGCTTCGCGCGCCTCGGGAGCACTTCGACCCGCTTTTGGGGCGGCGAGGGGGAGAGATTCGCAGCTTCAAGCGGGAGGGGCGGGGGAAGGGAGGAGTTGACTCCCCCGCCCTCAATTAGCAACCCTCCCTGGGACTTTTTTTTTTTTGGCGTGGTGGTCCTTCTGGTCCTCTTTGAGGAAAGAGGAGCCGGGACTTGGAAGGCAACGACCACCCCCCCCACCCCCAATTTGGGAGCAAAGGGCCCGCTCTGCAGAAGGAAGCAGCCGATCCATTTTGTGCTCCTTTACCACAACAAGCCTCGCTCCGCTTCTCTCCTCCTTGTGATCCTGCTTCGATCGTCCCCTCCTTCCCCGATCACCCCCTCTCCGCCCCGCCCCGCCCTCCGTGCCTCTGCCCCCCCCCCCGCGCCGCCGCTGCTCTCTCGATCCCGGGATACATGGGAGGCTCCGCTTCGCGCTGCCACGCGTTGGGTCGCAGGGGATCCCTCATCCCTCCTCCGGAAAGGAGTTTCCCCGCACCGGTTCCTCCGGCGAGCGGGCTCCCTGGGCGCTAAGAGGGAACTTCAGGCGCCTCGGCCGCGTTGGAGCAAGCCGCTTTCCTCGCAAACTTTTTTTTCCTGGGCAAAAGCACCCCGAGCCCTGCCCGCGTCAGCGCAACTCCAGCATGTAAAAGGGAGCGCCAGCGACGGCCTCTTTCTCTGCAGACGTGGCCCCTGCCGTCCCCAAGGGTAAGAGAAAGGCGAGATCCTTGTTGTTTCTGGGTCTTTGGTGAAAGCGACCCAAATTGGAGCGGGCGCTGCTTGCTGCAGCGGCGGCAGTAAACTGGGTTCCGTCTGCTCCGAATAGCGCGCGGCCGCCGTCGCGCAGAGGCTGCAGCATCAGCTGCCTCGCACTCCCCTGCTTTCAGGCGGGGGGGGGGGGTCCCTCGCCCCCTATACCGGGGTGGGGAAACTCTGGGATCCTATTAGTGTTTGGTGAGTGTGCTTGAATCATGGCGGTGGGGGATTGCTCACGGCTAATAGGAAGTTTCGTTTTGCAGCAAGGCTGGTGGTGGTGTTAGACTTCCCCACAGAAATAAGAGCCCACTCCCAGCTGTTTTAGGTTTAGCCCACATCCCAGCTCAGAAGCTGCGTGCAAAAGCTGCCCCCCTCCTCGCTTTCTCATCACAACCACCCTGTGAAGTGGAATAAGGGGTGCTCTGATTGATTTCTGCTTGTGGGTGCTCTTCCTGTCCTCCTTTTTTATTTCTCTCCGGGGCTTTTCTGGGGAGAGAGAGAGAGACATAGCTGTCAACCTTCCCTTTTTTTGTGGGAAATTCCCTTATTCCAGCGCCGCCGTTTCCCGCTGCTTCCTGCTGCTATCCCGGATTGTTAGATATCCCGTAGACTGTCCCTGGGACAAGTGAGGCTGCCGATCCCTTGTTTTCAAATCTGAAAGTTGACAGCTATGGAGAGAGAGGCTCTCCTAACCAAATCCAATCTGAGTTTTGCCATTGCTGGGGAGCAAACGGGAGTCAGCTGTTTGCACTGGGAATGGGATGTGATGAGGCACCACAGCTGCCCAAACTCTCTCTCTCTTCTTCTTCTTCTCTGCAAGGTAACACAGGTTGCTGCGAGGAGGAGACATCCCCGCTTCCCCACAGGAGTGATGCTCATCAGAGAAGTTTTGCTGCTCCTTCAGTGCTGCTGGTCTTCCCTGCTACTGCACTGGACCCTCCATCCCATCTGGGGCTTCATTCAGGTAATGTCAGGAACTCCCACCTTTCTTGCTTAGGTAGCCCACACCTGTGCTCTTCAAAGAGCACAAACTTCTGCAGCAAAGTACTTCTGAACTGTCCTTATTGCACTTGACGTTTGTGGGCGGCGGAGGGGTGAAGTACAAAAAGGATGTGCTTTATTGCTAGGGTTACTGCTGTAGCAAAGTACTGTACTTCTCTTTGAGATGTGAATACCTGGCCCAGGTGTCCCAAAGTAAAGCTGGTACAATTGTAGTTAGATCTGAGCTGTTTGTCGTACACAGGACTAAGGCAGGGAGGCAGCAGCAGCAGCAAAGAGCTGTCGTGTGTCAGAAGCAGCTACTACGTGATTTTCGCAATAACAGAATGATTTGTGTTGTGAACACACCCTGAGCAATTCTTAAGCTTTGCAAAGAATTGATACAGGGTATACTTTTTTGCATTTCGTTGACCCTTGAACCTGCTGTTCACTCCTCTGTACCCACGTACAGGATACAAACATGCAGACATATGTGCAGGATTCTGTACCTGTTCAGGATAGCAAGTCATGCATTTGATGAAGTGGGCTACTTTCATGAAAGCTTATCCCATAATAAACCCATTAGATCTTTAAGGTGCCGTAAGCTCTGTTGCTGTTTTTTTTGCTGCTACAGGCTAATATAGCTACCTCTTTGGAAGTCCTGTGTGTGACAGTGGTGAAAAAGAGAGGGAGAGAGTATTTCTCTGTATGTTCAATGCTACTGTTCAGGGTGTTTGGTGTTTCTCTGAACACAGGAAATAAAGGACCCGAGGTGCTTGTTGATTAGTGGATGTGATTCGAGGTTATGAGTGACCACAATCTTTGATTCCCGGTTTTCATGCATGCTAGTTCTGATGTACGGGAAGTGAGCGCTGCTCCTCAGGTAGCCAAATGGCACCACCCATGCGCCACCTGTTATCAGCTGGCTTGAGAGAAGGTCAACATTTGCAGCAGTTAAAAAAAATAAAGAAAAACTTCAGGAAAAGAACTAAGGGCGGTATCCCGCCCCCCACCCCACCCAAAGCCCAGTGAAGACATGAAATCCCAACTGACTGTTGGGAAAAGGGGGAAGGAATAGAAAACTGAGGGGAAGCATGGCATGGATGGGAGGGGCTGGAATTTGGACTAGGGGAGGATTCCATACTGCAGCATTTTGTTGCTGGCTCCTCTTGTTCATTCCATTTATTTTCCAATGTGTCTTAAATCCATATGTAGAAGTATCTCTCTCTGGTTGCGTGTGTACCTCATTTGTCCGGTAAAGTAGATGGTTGGGTCTCAATTTCTACGGCGTAAATAAGCAAGCCAGCCTCTGAGGCTCAAGCCGCAGACCCGTTTTTATTCACTTGCAAAATGGAATAGGGGGAAAGAGATCGATGGTCAGACTGAAAGGGCCAAAGGGATTATCTTGAAGGTAGGGTGCTGAATCTTTTCCTGCCCATCCCTAATTTCCCCCTAACTGGACATATTCTGGCTTGGTCCCACAATCTTACTAAGATTATCAGGCTCTGATGTTGGAAGTGAAACTGCCCAGAGGATGGGATTGGGGAATAGTCCTCAAGAGGAAACTTAGGCTGGAGGACGGTTCTGGTCTCTTACCCCTTCCTCCTTTAAATTGCACTCTCACCTGCCGCTTTACACTCGGGTCGAAAAGACCTGAGTTTCAATATACCTGCCTGCTGCGGTCACAGACAATTTGGGCCTGAGATTCTACGTGTTTTCATTTTGCTTTTTCTACTGCAGTCCAGCATAGCAACTCTTCAGGCTCCTAAACTTAACGCGATTTTAAATATATCTTCAGTAGGGTTACAACTGCCTCATAAAACACTTCTTTAAACACCTGAAAGATGTAAAAAGTGTTTTGGAAATATCGTTTAGGCTGAGGGCGTTGGATGCTTTCAGTTTAGGGAAGAAAGGATTGGCAGCTGGGGCATGTTTACTTCTGAGTAAGTGCCATGAATTTCAGTGATACTTTCAACTAAGTATGCTTAGACTTGCTGCCTACCAGGTTGTGAGGCTGGGGGAGGGAATTTCCTTGTACCTTCAAATTTTTGTTACACTGCAGCCCTGTGCACACCTGCCTGGCCCAGCTAAATTGAATGGGACTTCATTTGAAGTAAACATTCATAGGATCACACAATACGAGGCTGTTGTTAGACTTCAGCTATTTGCAGAGCAGTGCAATGTTATTTTCAAACAAGGTAACACAAAGCAGATCTTGGGTGGCTGTCCAGAAATGTTTCCTAATACTTGTGTTGTGAAGAAAGACTGCCAGGAAAGTGATGGAGTTGCAGTGGGAATGTTTTCTTGAGAGTGGTTTAAATCTGGAAAATCTTAAGTGTTACAAACTATCAGATTAGGTGATCCATGAACTGCTTTGTGCAGTTCAGACGGGTCTAAGAAGATTATTTTGATCAAACAGAGGGTGCAGTTTAGAGATTCAAACCACTGCATCAAAAGTCAGTATCTGACTCTGCTCGCTCACTGCGCTTCACTGAAAATGAATTTGGTGTTTAACTTCAATAAAGGAGCTTGTGTGATTTAGGGGTGGGGTGTCAGCTGAAGGCTGTCTGCACCTTGTAAAAGTTTTTGTCCTTCCAATACTTTGGATGTGGTGAAGGGAGAAGAGCCATAGCTCAGACGTGGAGCTTTGCTGGCAGAATGCCCAATTTCTGGCCCGAATGCCCAATTTCTGTTCTCATCCTGAAGCAAAGTTCTTAACCTGAGGTACTATTTCTGGGTTAGCGGAGTCTGTAACCTAAAGCACCTGTAACCTGAAGCGTATGTAACCCGAGGTACCACTGTAGAAGGCAGCTTGTTATGAGAGTCTCATATCTGCAACCAAAACAACAGCAACAAATAGTTGAATTGCACACTTTTGGTGAATGCTGAAGATGCATGTCTCTATCATGGCCTGTACACTTGAGATGTATATTTAAGGATCCTCCTTATCTTTGTAGTTTTAAGTTGTTTAAAACGGTTTTCAAGATTGTGTTTCAACTGAAACCTTGAGGTGAAGGATTGGTAATTATTAGTAATAGTAATGGTGCTCTTCCCAAACATTGTATTTATTTTTTTACTCAAGTATACATCTGTTCCTAGCACAGTGCCAACATTTTAGGCCTCAGAGACATAAAAAAAGCAGGCCTGCCATGTTTGGGAGAAAGCATAATTGGACACATGAATTCCTACATCAACAGTGGTATAGGATGTGTGTTTATGAGTGTTTTGTGTTTATGAGCATTTGGTGCCTGTATGTGTGTTTTTCATAATCCCTTCATGCACTTCACATTTCCACATAGAAAAGTATTTATTATTCACCTCCCCTGCCCCACTCCCCCAAAATTTACAACCTTTGCTGTTGTCTTCCATGTCGGGTCTCCTAAATAGAATTTGAACTAAAGCAACCATAGCTGCCCTACTGAGAACAGTCCATTTTTGTTTGTGTGCTAAAGGGCTTCATCCTTCCCCAGTGCTTTTAAGCGATCAACGCCATTGAATTTGGTGCCCGTAGAATTCAGCTTGCTAATTCAGAGCAGGATCTGAGTCTTCCTGAATGTGCTGACAGGGAAGAGGGTTTTCAAAGTCTAATGACTGTAGGTGGCAATGTGTTCAAAACTAGGCCTCTCCAAATAGCCTAATTTCATTAGCAGTTTGGCAAGGCATCTGTGATGTGGCTGTGAACTCGGAATCCACTGAGTGCAGGCTGAATCAGTTTTCCTGGTTCTCTGGTCCTCTGGTTTGCCATGTAGGTTGACCTTGGTGGATATGTGTGGTGACCAGCGATCAAGATGCATAGACCCAGAGGCGATAGGACAGGGTGCAATTTATACAGATGAGTTCTTTCAGCCTTGCAGACTCCACTGTGATATATGCAACCTAAGTAAGCAGGATTGTGAGCATTGAAGCCAAGGGACATAGGAAGCTGTCTTATACTGAGCTGGGTGATCGGTGCACCTAGCTAGTATTGTCTACACTGGCTGGCAGAGGCTGCAGGGTTTTGGGAGGCTTTCCCAGCCCTGGAGATGTCGGGCATTGAATCTGAGACTTTCTACATGCACAGCAGATTCTCTAGCACCAAATTGTGTGGTCCCCCTCTCCCTTTGACATGCTACCTTTTGTGAGTTAACGCCTTGCTTGTAACTTAGATCTTGAGGGAGTAATTGATAACCTCAGTACTGTAAGTACAAAGAAAATGCTGTCCTTTCCCTCTGTTCTAAACTTGGCAGATTCCGCATTTTGCTGTGGATGTTGCTTGACTTAACTTTTTGCCTCTCGTCTGAAGATCTGTCAGCCGTCCAATTGCAAAACAAGGATCTTGTGCTGCCGTCGCTGCTGCCTGCCACGCTCTGAAATCCGGGTGGCTAAACAAGCTTGTGTAATTGAAACTGTGCATGCTTTGAAGGCAAATGTAATTATGTGAAAGGATCTGCTGGGGTTTTTTTTGGAACCGACACCCTCCAATCAATCAGTCAGTCGCCATGACTTACAAAAGCACCCCTTATGCAAGCTTCATAAGTGATGTATATACAAATCACTAATACATTAAATTAGGTTTGTAAGTATACAAGGGTCATGCTGCAGAGAGTCCTTATTAAGCCTGGGCTTCCCTTTCTAGTTTTACCAGGGGGAAATGATTTTGCCTTATCCATAGGTTATGCTAGCATTTTTATCATCATGAATCTGTTTCATTCCACATTAGACACATACGGGGGGGGGGGGGACCAAACCAGAAGCAATTTGGTTAAATGTAGCAACTTTCTTTAGAATTTCAGCAATAGTACCGTTTCCGTGGGGTGATAAGAACACGAGAAGAGCCTGCAGGATCAGGCTGGTAGCTCATCTACTCCAGCATCCTATTCTTACAGTGGCCAATCAGATGCCTGTGGGAAACCCTCAAGCAGGATTTGAACGCAAGAGCCCTCTCCCCTCCTGCAGTTTTCAGCAATTGCTTTTCAGTAGCATTTAGGTCTCCATCTGTGGAGACAGAGCAGAGCCATTACGGCTAGTGGCCTTAGCCCTCTCCTCCATGAATTTGTCTCATCTTCCTTGCAAGCCATCCAAATTGGTGACCCTTACTGCATCTTGTGTCAGTGAGTTCCATAGTTTAACTCTGTGTTGCTTGAAGCAGTGCTTCCTTTTATCTGCCCTGACTCTTCCAACATTCCTGTGGCGAAAGACCCTTAGGTATAATCGGTGCCTCATGAAATTGCCAGGTTCAGCGTGGCACAGTTGAGGGGATATGGGGTCTTGTGCTTTTAACAGTTTCGCAGAAGAAATAGTTTCAGCGTGTTCTGCTTCTCCTCTTCCAGCTTTGTAGCAAAACAGAAAGATCAGCTCAAACCTCTCCTTTCTAAGCAGCTATTGGAAACCCAGGAACCTTCTTCCAGATCTAGAAACCTCAGACCTGTCTCCCATAGATACAGTCTCCCATGTCATCAGTGTCAACCAAAATAATCAGTTTTGGCAAACAGCAGAGAAAGCCTTAAATTACTATATTTTTCCACATAAGTCACAGAGAGAGAGAGAGACCACCAGCATTCCCAGGGAGGCAATAAGTGACTTTTCAAAATGACATCGTGCCTGTACTGGGATGTAACACCAATGTCATGATGCATACTTCCTATGTAAACATGCTCAATAGGCAGTGAATGCGAAAAAGATGTGTTTACTTGGTCCTTTTGGAACAGGAAGTAAGAAAGCTGAGCCTCGTGGGCTACTAGAAATGAAGGTGGGCTACCATGTTTAGGCAAAATGGGTGCCTTCTGCTCACTGCCAATCCTGGTGGCCATAGGGAATTTCTGCAAAAAAGGATGATGATTGGACACTTCATGATTAGACACATACAGAAACAAGAAAAAGTGAGTGGAGATTTGTTGGTATTATTTCTTCTTTTATTTGCATCATCCCACTCACTGTCTAGAGACACAGGCATCAGAAAGCTGCAGGTAATTACAGGTGCAGGACCTTAAAGATGTAGCAGAGGCATTAACAAACACCACTCTTTTTTCAACTACTGCTTTGGCAGTCTAAGACAAGGGTAGCCACGTGACAAACTTTGTGGAACAGTGGATGCAAGAAAAGTTGACTAGGGCCATAAACTATATACAGTGATACCTCAGGTTACAGACACTTCAGGTTACAGACGCTTCAGGTTACAGACTCCGCTGAGCCAGAAATAGTACCTTAGGTTAAGAACTTTGCTTCAGGATGAGAACAGAAATCGCGCGGCGGCAGCAGGAGGCCCCATTAGCTAAAGTGGTACCTCAGGTTAAGAACAGTTTAAGGTTAAGAACGGACCTCCGGAACGAATTAAGTTCTTTTCTTTTTTAATTACTCACTTTCCACATAACAAATTATCAAACCATATAATCACCTACATAATCCCCCCTCCCTCCCCCCTCCACCATGGACTTCCCTCAGCTCCTCTCCCTTGATTTCGCTGCACATATTTTCTCTGCATATTATAAAATTGTATATATCCTTACATATCTGTCCATAATGTTATCAACAATAAATTTGTGTATGTTTATTCACAACCTGCCAAGGAGTCCAGTTCATTTTGTTGTGTTTTTAGATAATTTGTATAAAGTTCCCATTCCTCCTTGAAGTCACAGTTGTCCTTGTCTCGCAATTTGTATGTCAATTTGGCCAGTTCTTGGCTAATTTGGAACGAACTAAGTTCTTAACCCGAGGTACTACTGTACATTATTTTACTATATTATACAGGCAAAATGCAACTGCTGCAGGGATTACATTCCAAGGATACGTACCTTATTTTTCCGTGTATAACATGCCCCCGTGTATAAGGCACCCACTATTTTTGGGGACTCCAAATTAAGAAAATGTGGGGAGATTGCCCAGAGTTGCTGAGCTTTTTGGGGGGAGGGTGGCACAGAGTTGTTGAGCTTACTTTAGGGGAGATTGCTGAAAATCATCTGTCCCCTCGCTGACAAAAGCCACCAATCGCCCACCCTATTGCCACAGCAACAGCCAATCAACACCAGCCCTTGACGCAGCCACCAATAACATGCCCAATAGCCCATGACAATCTCCGGCTCGTGGCAGCAACTAATCCCACGTCCCCCCTATGCACTATCTGTGTATAGGATGACCCCCAATTTTTTTCTTAATTTCTTAATAAAAAACCCTCCCCTTATATATGGAAAAGTACGGTAAATTATGCAAGTGGAGGACTCTGAACAGGAAAATTGTGCCTGTGTCTCCTTTGGAATCAACCCATTTGCCAAGGCCTCCTACATGAGGACGCCATTGTTTCTGGTCAAAATGATTGTATATTGACACGGTTAAAAACAACAATGTGAGATGGTGTAGGAGTTAGCATGTTGGACTAGGACTGGGGAGAGGGGTATGTAAATCCCCGTTCAGCCATAAAACATCCTGGGTGACTTTGTTGGGCCATCATCAGAAGCTTAGCTGGGGGGAGGGGGAGGGGTCACAGGTCGCCACACCACGGGGGGGGGGGCAGCACTTACCGTGGGGCCTGTCTCTCAGCCTAGTGTAGCCTACCTCACAGGGTTGCTGTGAAGAAAGGTAAAGGGACCCTGACCATTAGGTCCAGTCGTGACCGACTCTGGGGTTGCGGCACTCATCTCGCTTTATTGGCCGAGGGAGCCGGCATACTGCTTCCGGGTCATGTGGCCAGCATGACTAAGCCGCTTCTGGCGAACCAGAGCAGTGCACGGAAACGCCGTTTACCTTCCCGTCGGAGCGGTACCTACTTATCTACTTGCACTTGATGTGCTTTCGAACTGCTAGGTTGGCAGGAGCAGGGACCGAGCAACGGGAGCTCACCACTTTGTGGGGATTCAAACTGAGTTAAACGCAGTGCTACAGTGTTTGAGATTTCACAGTGCTTTTGACTGAGCTAATCTTAAACTCCAGAACCTCATCAATTTCAGCTGCCTGGACTGGCTTCACTTCTTAAAAAAATGAGCCCGAGTTCCATTACGATTGTGGAACACTATTAAAACTGGAACACTATTAAAAATGGAATATTAAAGTTAGTCTATTGGCTCCAAAGGCTTAGCAACAGAAGTGCTGTTGGTGGGAAGGAGTTCAGAGAGGTGACAAAGGAATACAGAAAACTGCCTTCTAGTGAGCCAGCTTATTTGTCTAGCCCTGCTGCAAATTTGGAGCTTACTCAAGAGGAAACTATCCCTCCAGAAAGTAGCACAACCTTGTATTCAGCACCAGATTGAAACAGTGATGAATTCAAATTCCACTGCAAATGAACTTTCAGGAGTGCTCTGCCTCCTCTAATTTCCCAACTCCTCTGTGACAACAGCTGATACAATTTTCTGGTTATTTTCATAGACATGCTTCAAGCTTTGTTGTAAAGAATAGGATGTTTTTGGGGAGTTCCTACCCACCTCAGAAAGCATGTTAATACAAAAGTTTAAATAGCAACAGAGTTGTATCCAAGTAAGCCATGTTCCATGTAGACCCATTGAACTCAGTCAACTTGAGTCCAATTATTTCAGTTCGTCTATGAAAGTATGATTTGCTTAGATAAAACTCATAGACTGTCAAAATCCACACTGTTGACAGCTGGAGACATTAAAACGGGTAACTAATGTGGTGGTATCAAGATGTTGTGGACTGCAACTCCCATTGTCCCATGGGCAAGGATTGATGGGAGTTATAGTTCACAACTTCTAGAGAGCAGCACATTGGGTACCCCTGCATCAAAACATTATGGAATGCAAAGCAGATTCAAGTCAAAGGGTTTCTGTCTTGGACAGACCAGTAAGGACAACAGTTTAGCCATTTCCTCTGACAGGAATGTCACTGAGACACCTGACAGTAACATCTTAGCAGCAAAGTCCAGGCAAAACAGCTTATGAATGACTATGGAAAAGAAATCTCTCTCTCTCTATTTTAGAAGTAAGCTTGAATGAAAGCCAGTCAGATATTGGTTTGGTTGATCATTAAAAGGCAACATGAAGTGTTAAAATTTGTGACAGGTCTATATTTATAGCAGAATCTTTCATTGCAGGGCATAGCTTTGCTGCCTTCTCATCTGCCAACCTAGAGGCAGCTTGTATAGGCATTAGGGAAAGAAAAGAGCAATTACACATCATATGAGTCATCACGCTTTGTGAGAGGAGCAGTCTTCCACACATTTTCTAGTAATATCATGTTCTGTTTTGTTTAAAAGGGGCCCACGTGGAGTCTTTTTCATGGCTGGAAAAAAATAAATTGACAGGAAGCTTCTTCACATTTTGAGGTGATATGTACAGAATTTTGAAGAACCTTGGAAACGATGAAGGTCCAATGTAGGCTTTCATTTGTTGTTGTTTAGTCGTTTAGATCGTGTCCGACTCTCTGTGACCCCATGGACCAGAGCACGCCAGGCCCTCCTGTCTGCCTCCCACAGTTTGGTCAAACTCATGTTAGTAGCTTTGCGAACACTGTCCAACCATCTTGTCCTCTTTCGTCCCCTTCTCCCTGTGCCCTCAATCTTTCCCAACATCAGGGTCTTTCCCAGAGAGTCTTCTCTTCTCATGAGGTGGCCAAGGTATTGGAGCCTCAGCTTCAGGATCTGTCCTTCCAGTGAGCACAGGCTTTCATTTAGTCTTTGTTAATGGCAGGGATAGCCAATATGATGCCATCCAGATGTTGTGGACTACAACTGTCATCAACCCCAGTCATCATGGCCAGTGGTCAGGGGTGATGGGAGTTGTAGTGTGAGAACATCTGCAGGACACTGTGTTGACTACCCCGACTGAGGATGTAAACAAGGGGTTTGGGAATCTGCCCTCAGTTCCAGCCTCTTCCTCAAGATTGGTTTGCTGCCATTTCCCTTAGTACCACACATTATCTCTCTTCTCAGTCCTCCCATTTCTAAGAAGACTATGCTGTGAGATAGATGTTTTTGCACCTTCTTCTGACACCATTTCTGCAGCAGCTGTTTACACAGAGGAAGGGCAGATATCGAGCATGGAGAACCTGTGGCCCTTCAGTTGATTTTGGACTCCCATCAGTCCCAGACGGAGTGTTAGAAACTGGGATAGAAAAGCTAGCAGCCAAATGGTTTCTGGGATCTGGGGGGGAGCAAAACAGAATGTCTAGTTATTAAGACATGTCTTATTATTTTGATAAGCATGAACTCATACGCAATTCACATAAGTGACACATTGTTAATATAACATTTTTATCAGAAATTGTTAATACATGTTTAATTTGGGGTTTACAATAAAAATGTTGGTGCTATATTTCAGTTTTCAAATCACTCTACTCTTTATTGTTAAACTCCTTAGTATACAGTGGTACCTCGGGTTACATATGCTTCAGGTTACATACACTTCAGGTTACAGACTCCGCTAACCCAGAAATAGTGCTTCAGGTTAAGAACTTTGCTTCAGGATGAGAACAGAAATCGTGCTCTGGCGGCGCAGCAGCAGCAGGAGGCCCCCATTAGCTAAAGTGGTGCTTCAGGTTAAGAACAGTTTCAGGTTAAGTACGGACCTCCGGAACAAATTAAGTACATAACTAGAGGTACCACTGTATTGTCTATCCTTAACATATACTTTGAGGCTGCAGAGCACATACATTTCAGTAATCCTTGAGTGTCAGCCAGGCGCAAAAAAATGGCACCCAGACTTTTTGAGGTGCTCGCAAATGGAGAATCTATTGGCACAAAATGCCCTGCTAATTTCGAACCCTGCCCAAAGAGCATGGCCAATGGCCAGGGATGATGGGATTTGAAGTTCAGCATCATCTTGGAGGGCCACAGGTTCCCCATCCCTATTATAATGTATTATTTTATATACCACTTATTTGCAAAAATGCCTTCTAAGAGGTTTGCAGGTATAAAACAGAGCATAAAGAATATAGCCACAAGTAATTAAAATGCAATAAAGCAATTTCATCAGGACTTTAAACAGCCATGATTAATATGTGCAATAAACAAGCCCATTACAACAACATAGCAATTCACACAGTTTAAACAGCAGTTATAGCAGGAAGCTCAAGTCAGGGGGATCACGAGCAGCGAACATTGTTTCCAGGCAGAAGGTCCGAGGTTAATTCCTGGTGACTTTCCATCTAGAATGATCTGAAAGATGCTTGTCTGCCTGAAAAACTGAAGTGCTGCTGCCAGTCAGAGTAGATATTACTTGGGTCAAATGACAACTACTATAACTTATCAAGTCTCCAGTGCAAATCTTGCCTCTGCCATGACTGCATTAGATATTATGGCCTCAGTTGCCTTATGCTTCTTTTATATGGGGGTATCTTACATGTAAGGGACGCAGGTGGTGCTGTGGGTTAAACCAGAGCCTAGGACTTGCCGATCAGAAGGTCGGCAGTTCGAATCCCCGTGACGGGGTGAGCTCCCATTGCTCGGTCCCTGTTCCTGCCAACCTAGCAGTTCAAAAGCACGTCAAAGTGCAAATAGATAAATAGGTACCACCCTGGCGAGAAGGTAAATGGCGTTTCCGTGCGCTGCTCTGGTTCGCCAGAAGCAGTTTAGTCATGCTGGCCACATGACCTGGAAGCTGTACGCCAGCTCCCTCGGCCAATAAAGCGAGATGAGCGCCGCAACCCCATAGTCGGCCACGACTGGACCTAATGGTCAGGGTCCCTTTACCTTTTTTTTATCTTACATGTATCTGAGGAATCTTACATGATTTTTGGGGGGGAAAGATTCCTGAGATAATGTATGTGAATCATTTTTAAGAATGAGGAAAGGAAGACAAGGAGACAGTAGAGCTCTCTCTACACATGGTATGCTGTATGAATGCCAGTGATCCTTCAAGTAACTTGGACCCAGACTATTCAGGAAATGGATAGGTAAGCAGTGCAGCTGAAACAGTATTGATATAACATTATCCATTGTCTGGTCCTTATGAGAATACTGGTGGCTGTGTTTCTGTACCAGTTGAAGTTCCTGAACAGTTTTTAAAGGCAGCCCCTTTGCAGAGCAGAATACAGTGGTACCTTGGTTCTCAAACTTAATCCGTTCCGGAAGTCCATTCCAAAACCAAAGCATTCCAAAACCAAGGCGCGCTTTCCCATAGAAAGTACAGTGGTACCTCGGGCTACAAATGCTTCGGGTTACAAACTCCACTAACCTGGAAGTAGTACCTCGGGTTGAGAACTTTGCCCTAGGATGAGAACGGAAATCGTGTGCTAGCAGCGCGGTGGCAGCGAAAGTGCGCCTCAGGTTAAGAACGGACCTCCGGAACGAATTAAGTTCGTAACCCGAGGTACCACTGTAATACAAAACAAATTCCTTCCTTCCAGACTTTCAAAAACAAACCCTAAAACAGCAATTTAACATGAATTTTACTATCTAACAAGACCATTGATCCATAAAATGAAAGCAATAATCAATGTACTGTACTACAAAATAAATAAAACAGATGATAAAAATAAAAAAAATTCTGACCTGCACTGATGATAGTCATTGTTTGGATGGGTGTTTTTATCCATTTCCGCAGTCTCACAGTCAATCAATCAGTAGCTGAACTGGGTTCCACACAGTCACAAAACCAAATCACAGTAAACAAAAAAGCCTCAAAAACAAAAATGCAAAATAAATAGCAAAAACAAAAGCGCCAAACTTAATCAGTTCTGGAATTCCATTTGACTTCCGAAATCTTTGAAAATGAAGGCACAGCTTCTGATTGGTGCAGGTGCCTGGAAACAATAGCCGATAGTTGGATGTTTGGCTTCCAAAAAACACTTGAAAACCGGAACACTTACTTCCGGGTTTTCAGAGTTTGAGAAACAAAGTGTTTGAGAACTAAGGCATTTGAGAACCAAGGTACCACTGTAGTCTAGTCTAGGGATAGACAGCCTTTGAGATCTTTCTGTTCCTAATTACTGCTGAGGGGGAGTTTTCATTGGCTAAACATGGTAAAGGTAATAATAATAGTAATAATAATAATAATAAATTTTATTTATATCCCGCCCTCCCCAGCCAAAGCTGGGCTCAGGGCGGCTAACAACAATCAAAATAATCCAACATTCTAAAAACATTCATTATAAAATTAATTAAAATCAAATTGATGGCAACCATTAAGCAAAATTCTGTGCAGATTGCCAGAGGAGGGTGTCAGGCTGCGCCCTGACCAAAGGCCTGGTGGAACAGCTCTGTCTTGCAGGCCCTGCAGAAAGATGTCAGGTCCCGCAGGGCCCTAGTCTCTTGTGACAGAGCGTTCCACCAGATTGGAGCCGTGGCCGAGAAAGCCCTGGCTCTAGTTGAGGCCAACCTAACCTCTCTGTGGCCTGGGACCTTCAAGATGTTTTTATTTGAAGACCGTAAGTTTCTCTGTGGGACATACCAGGAGAGGCGGTCCCATAGGTACGAGGGTCCTAGGCCGTATAGGGCTTTAAAGGTTAAAACCAGCACCTTAAACCTGATCCTGTACTCCACCGGGAGCCAGTGCAGCTGGTATAGTACCGGATGAATATGATCTCGCAGCGAAGACCCCATAAGGAGTCTCGCAGCGGCATTCTGCACCCGCTGGAGTTTCTGGGTCAGTCTCAAGGGCAGCCCCACGTAGAGCGAGTTACAATAATCCAGTCTGGAGGTGACCGTCGCGTGGATCACAGTGGCTAGGTCAGGGCGAGAGAGATAAGGAGCCAACTGCTTAGCTTGGCGGAGATGAAAAAATGCCGCCTTTGTTATAGCTGTAATCTGCGCCTCCATAGAGAAGGAGGTATCGAAGATTACACCCAAACTCTTAACGGACGATGCTGGCACTAATTGCACCCCGCAAGAGATGGGAGTTGCCCCTCAATCCCATATCGCCCCGTCCCAGCCAGAGGACCTCTGTCTTCGAAGGATTTAACTTCAACCGGCTCCCACGTAACCATCCAGCCACAGCTTCCAGACATCTGGTCAGTGTGTCTGGGGCCGAGTCAGGATGGCCGTCCATCAACAGATAGAGTTGGGTGTCATCGGCATACTGATGGCAGCCCAGCCCAAAACTCCGGACAAGCTGGGCGAGGGGGCGCATAAAGATGTTAAAAAGCATCGGGGAGAGAATCGCACCCTGAGGCACTCCACACACCAAGGAGTGGCACGATGACAATTCCCCCCCAAGCGCCACCCTCTGTCCCCAACCAGAGAGAAACAAGCGCAGCCATTGAAGGACTGTGCCCTGGATCCCCACGTTGGCAAGGTGGTGGTCCAGGAGTTCGTGATCGACCATGTCGAAGGCTGCTGACAGGTCTAGAAGAATCAGCAGCCCCGACCCGCCTCGATCCAGCTGCCTGCGGAGATCATCTGTTAGGGTGACCAGAGCCGTCTCGGTCCCATGACCAGCGCGGAAGCCGGACTGGAATGGATCGAGAGCCGATGTTTCATCCAGAAACCTACCAAGCTGTTCAGCAACCGCTCTCTCAATCACCTTACCCAGGAATGGAAGATTCGAAACCGGGCGGTAATTGGATAGATCTAAGGGATCTAATGATGTTTTCTTTAAGAGCGGACGCACCACTGCCTCCTTCAGTTCCCCTGGGAATATCCCGGTGCCAAGGGACAAATTGATGATATCACCCAGGGGCCCCGCACCTCGTCTGGACACGCTCTAATCAGCCAAGACGGGCACGGGTCAAGAGGACAGGTGGTGGGCTTTCCAGCTCGGAGGAGTCTGTCCACATCGGCTGGGGATATCCGGTCAAAGTGGTCCAATACTGGACCCGAGGACAGTCGAGGGGCCTCCAGTTCCTTTATTGTATCCAAATTGGCAGGGAGGTCATGGCGGAGCAACAGGACCTTCTCCGCAAAAAGCTCGCAAATGCCTCACAGCTGTGTGTCAAATTGTTATTTAAATTTGGCTGTCCTTCAAGGGACGTTAAAGACCTAATTATACTAAATAATTGCGCCGGGAGAGCTAGCGGAGGCAATGGAGGCCGAGAAGTAGGACTTCTTAGCGGCCTTCACTGCCATCTCGTAGGTTTTCATAAAAACCCTATAAGATGTTCTTGAGGCTCCGTCACGGGCACCCCGCCATACTCGCTCTAGCCGTCTGAGGTCCCGCTTCATTTTCCGAAGCTCCTCGGTAAACCAGGGAGCCCGGTTTCTGCGGGGTCGCAGAGGGCGCCTAGGTGCGATCTCATCGATGGCTGCTAGGAGCTGGATATTCCAGCCCTCAACAAGCTCAGTCAATGAGTCGCCAGGGGGAGCAAGGTCCCGCAAGGCCTGACGGAATCTATCAGGGTCCATCAGCCTCTGCGGGCGAGCCCAAATTGGCTCGCCACCTAAGCAGGGTGGGGGTGGAAAATCAATCCTGGCTTTCAGAGCGTAGTGATCAGACCATGGCACCTTCATCGAAGGAGACATGATCACATCTATACCGACGCCAAAGATCAAATCCAGCGTGTGGCCTGCTTGATGTGTGGGGCCCGAAAGAAACTGGGAGAGCCCTAGTGTCGCCATGGAAGACACCAGGTCCAGAGCCTGTGAGGAGGGAGTGGCATCAGCATGGATGTTGAAGTCCCCCAATACCAATAGGTTAGGGAACTCCAAGGCCCAGCCGGCCACCGCCTCCAGCAGGCCTGACAGGGTGGCTGCTGGTGCGCTAGGTGGCCGGTACACCAGCCAGACAGCCAAGCTCACCTCGGAGCCCCACACTAGGCCAACACATTCAATGCCGGGGATCGATGGCGATGGTAGAGCCCTGAAAGAACAATCTTCCCGGATTAATAATGCCACCCCGCCCCCCCCCCCCGGCCCACAGTCCGCGACTGGTGGAGGACGGAGAAACCCGGGGGCGCCATCTCTCGTAAGGTAACAGTTTCCCCTTCGCGCACCCAGGTCTCCGTCACACAAGCCAGGTCAACCCCCTTCGAGGTGAAGAAATCTCGCAGGGTGGCGGGTTTTTTGCCTATAGACCTGGCATTGCACAACACCAGTGACGGAGGTGAGTAATCCTTGCTCACCCTACCTTCGTCCCTCGGGATGGGGCGCAGATTGGAAGGGGTACGAGCATATCCGTATCTCGATCCCCTTCGCCTATGACATCTGCCCCCACCACCATACCTCCCTCGCCCCACTACGGTAGCAATCCCAAACCTCAAACCAACCTCCATTTACAAAATAGAAAAACAAATCAAAACAAAAACAATTTGTTGTACCAAACAAAACAAATCCCCACCCCACTCAATATCCAACCCCAAACCAAAATAAAATGGAACAAAATAAAAATACATCAATAAAAACCACCGTTCACGGTGGTACAACAAAGTAAAAAGTAAAAACCCCTTTAAAACACTTTTAAATATATAAAAACATTTTTAACATTTGCTGAAGCAACACCAGTGTCCTTAAAACTGTAGCGGTGGCGAGTGTGGGCCCTGCCCCCTAGGCCTGGTGGAATGGGCCTACAGGAGGGAGTGGCCTTCCTCAACACCCACGGTGCAGCAGCAGGTACCCCTGACCGTTAGGTCCAGTCACTGACGACTCTGGGGTTGCGGTGCTCATCTCGCTCTATAGGCCAAGGGAGCTGGCATTTGTCCGCAGACAGCTTCCGGGTCATGTGTCCAGCATGACTAAGCTGCTTCTGGCGAACCAGAGCAGAGCACGGAAACCCTGTTTACCTTCCCACTGGAGTGGTACCTATTTATCTACTTGCACTTTGATGTGCTTTCAAACTGCTAGGTGGGCAGGAGCTGGGACCAAACAATGGGAGCTCACCCCATCCATCATTAATATAACAGTTTATAAGAGTGGGAGCCAGAATGCAACCTTGCTTCACCCTACACAAATCCAGATTCCCTAAGACAGTTGGATGGAACTTTGTATGCCTCCTTCTGGCAACTCCTGCAGCCAATCTGGTGCCAAAGTATTGTTCTGTTTTCATTTGAACCACATCAGTGAGGCCGAGAGGGGAGTCTTGTCATCTGGGCAGCCTAGGACCTCCATACGCACTGTCTAGGCGTGTGCCCCAGGGAGGTCACTTGTTATGAGAGCATGAGATAGGCCTTGTGCAGATGTAAGTCTGCTAATCTCATGATGGTAAAGGGGTCAGAAACAGACTGACCGCTCACAAGCTCCCTGCATTGTGAATTTCCACTTCTTTGTCTTCTTCCCTTTTGTTAAGTTGTGGGTGAACATATCAGACAACACAACGATTCTTCAAACAGCTCTTGTTTATTCACAGGCCAGAACAGAACTGAACTGAATGGTTCAGCCAGCCTGCTCCACTAGAGCTCCACTAGAACGCAACAGTAACCATTTTCTGTAACTATCCAATCACTGAATGTCACTTTCGATCCCTTATTTGCATATGTGGACCTGAACTATTTACAGTATCCCCCTGCTGGCTCAGGGTGAGAACTTCAGTACATAACACCTTTAACAATGTCTCATCTGCACAGATGCTAACGAGGGTTGATGCTAACCAGTCCTCCCAACTTAAGAAATATTTGAAGCGGGAATTTGAAGGAGGTTTGCGAACCCTCGTTAAAAGCGACTCAGGCCTACGCAACTTGTGATTTACCAACCACTGGTCATGCATTCTTGGCCGCCATAGACAATGGTAGGGGAAGGGCCGTAGATCAGCAGGAGAGCATTTGCTTTAAATGCAGAAGGTGCTGGATTCAGTCTCTGACATCTTCAAGTAGGGTGGGGAATGTCTGTTCTCTGAAAGCTTGGAGAGCCACTGCCGGTCAATGCGAATGTTTATTATTACAGCTAAACAGCCAGCATAACCGGCCAATGTAAATAATACCAAGCTAAATGGACCAGTGTTGTGACTCTGTATATGTTCGCTTCCTATACTCAAAGTAGCCCTTATAAATCTCTTGTTTTTGTTGCCTTTCTGAGACTACACATCTCAAGGGGCTGTCAAATACCTGGCAGACCACAGTATATGGTGGGTGGGTCACAAATTGTGCAGGCATGGTTTGGTGTTAACCATGGTTAGTACCTGCAGTAGATGTAACCCTAAACTATGGTTAAAAACCAACAAAGGAACACAAGAACAGCCGCAGTTCTTTTAATTGTGGTTGAGCGATCAACAGTATTTACTATGTTGGCAGCAAATAATCCTCAGAACTTTTTTCAGGCTTTTTAACACAATAGGGATTTGTTATTCTTTAACCATAAGAGGAATGTTGGCATACTCTCTGTGATTAAATTTGGTCTTTCCTATGTATGGTAATAGACTCTGACAAGCTATTTAAAGTACCGAAAGTTTGTTTACATGTGTTGTTTGGAAATTCTTTGCAGTTCAGCTAAGCATAGCATCTTTCTATATATATATGTATATTTCTTACCCTCAGGCCTTTGAGGTACAAAATGCTATCTCCAAGGCATCAGAGAAAGAAAGCTTTAAATTTCTGCATCTGGGCATGTGATGAACTACATTGTACTCATTCTTTCTTTCCTTCTGTCTTTTTTAAAAACTTTAACTAGAGGAGTGTACATTCTATGTATGTACTTTTGATGCTGTTAGCAAGGAGGTTGAAGAAACCTTTGGTTCCTTTTTCAAAGGATTAACATTATATAATAATCACATGAATGTTCAACTAAAATGACTTGAGAGGTCACTGCTAATTCCATGCTTCACATATTCCTGCAATGGGTCTGAGTTGTGTGTGTTTTAAAATATAATTTCCTGTTGAGAACTGCACTTAATAGGATACTTGCATTAAATAACATACTAAAGTGCTGCTTGGAAAGGCATATACATAAATTATCTGAGTTCTTGGGTACAATCCCTAATGTGAGAGGTATGCCCAAGGCCCATTGAATTCAAGGAGGCTTGAGCTGCAATCCTCAGAAGTGCATCCCATCAAATTCAATGGGGTTTACGCCCTAGTAAACAAATACAGGTTTGCAACCTGCAATCTTATCCACAATTACTTAAGAGAAAGTCTCACTGAGCACAATGGGATGTACTTCTGGGTATTTGAAGAATAGCATTGCACTGCAAAGCACTACTGCACACCATTAAGCCTGATTGATTTCAGTGGGATTTAGATACATCTACTGTAAGTTCCTTTGAATCAGGCCTGCTTTTTCAGGTAACACAGCAGAAAATGCAAACCTATTACTGATGCAACTGTGGTGTCCTTGCCCACCCCCACCCCCCCACCCCCGGTAACAGAATATATCAAGTCTAAAACCACCCATCAGTTCCATATACAGTGGTACCTCAGGTTACATACACTTCAGGTTACATACGCTTCAGGTTACAGACTCCGCTAACCCAGAAATAGTACCTCGGGTTAAGAACTTTACCTCAGGATGAGAACAGAAATCACACGGCAGCAGCGGGAGGTCCCATTAGCTAAAATGGTGTTTCAGGTTAAGAACGGACCTCCGGAACGAATTAAGTTCTTAACCCGAGGTACCACTGTATTTGTATTGTGTAGAGCGCTTTTTTTCCAAGAAAAATAGGTGCCAGAACTCATCATGAAGTTGTTACAGTAAGTCGCCAGGCGACTTGAGGCAGCCCTGAACAGATGCTGGCTTGACAATAGCCATGGTGGGAGGGATTTTTTCCCCAGCTGGAATTTGCCAGATCTGAGTTCTGGCACCTCTCAGGTGGGCACCATTGCCATGATAAGAGAACAAGGGGGTGTTCATGGTGAGGTCTGGCACCTCTTTTTCTAGAAAAATAGAGCTGCGTGGAGGTGTGGCAAGCTGTCTCCCTAGCTGGTTTGGGGGTCGCCCCTGGTTCTGGTGCAGGTCTAACAAATGTGCCCTGGCCTGCTTCGTTCTCTTAGATTCAGGCAGATGGCTAGGACAGCTCAGAAGGGCCCTCGTGCAATGTGCATGCATATAACAGTAGAGGCTGAATGGGATATGGTTTGAAGAAAAAGGAAATACAAATTGGCCCCGCCCTATAGCTTGACCAATCGTGGCTAGGAATGGCTAGGAGCTAGGTGGAGTCATGGATCTAAAAAAAGTGTTCCGTTTAGACTTGAATTGTTTGCTTTCGTCTTCTGAGAAGTACGTAAAGGTAAGAAGCGGGTGAGGGGCCCGCTGGTCCACAGTGGCACCCACCTGAGAGGTGTTGGCACACTCTGGCTGAAAAAAAGCACTGATTATATGTATTTTTGCAACTAGAATAATGTTGAATTGAGCTGGTTTAGAAGAGGGGCATCACAGCAGATATCTCTAAAGACCTCTTCTAACGAGGCTGAAACAGATCTCTTGGGCAAAGGTTCATTTTTTAAAGAAAATAATATTTTTATTAGTTTTCAATTACAATTCAATAATAGCCTCATTATAACAATACCAATTTATAATACAATTATTAATACCAATCATTCAAATACCGAATTATATAATTTAGATAACGCCCCCCCATGTGCTCAATTTGATGGATTAACTATTTGCTTTATTTCTGCGTTCCAAGATCTTATTAATTTCCATTACATTCCGGTCATCATAATCATCCCTTATACAACAACTGCAATATTCATAACTTCTTTTCATGTTAACACATTAAATGATTTATAAAGGTACGAGTGAGGAACTCAAACTATATATTTGTTCTTCCTGTGTGTGGCAATTATTCCGTCTGCGGTGTTTCTTCCTGTCCTTGTAAGATGTTATGTCTTTATTTCCCCCGGTTGTTGCTGTTATCCGTCATGCCTTAGGCGGAGTTGATATCCCGTTGTTGTCCCAGAAATTACTCCATCGCTCCATCCTGTGCTTCGTTGTTTTGCAGCTTTAACAACAGCTGCAAAAGTCACTCTGTCCCAATAAATAACCTGTTTTCACTATTTTTCCTCTCAGCCTGGGAAGAAGAGCGGTCTGTTTATTTATTAACCATAGGAAAATATCATGGGACAGTTTATGACTTTCATGGACTTGGAAGGGACTCATCTAGTCCAACCTGCAATTCAGGAATCCTGCTCACAGCCGTCTCTGAGTAGGCTCGAACCCCCAACCTTCTGTTTAACATAAGGTTACCAGATGTCCCCGTTTCCTGGGGACAGTCCCCAGATTTACAAATCACTCCCCATACAAAATCCATTGAAGTTGAAAAGTGTCCCCGGATTCACTGGAAAAAAATCTGGTAACCTTAGTTTAACATCCAGATGCACTGACCCATTGTGCCTTCTTTCAGGCTAGTGGATTCCCACCTCAAAGACCCCATAGTGTTACAGCTTCACCACAGTTGTATTGAATGCAAATACCACAAACAAATTGGGATTCAGCAGAGACAGTCACCATCAGCTCTGCTGAAGAGCCAGTTCCATCAGGCTTCACCCCCCTTCATCTGTTGCCTGACAGCAGTTATTCCATCAAGCTGTACTACAACTTTTGGCTATTCCTTTCTTCGAAATCTTTCAGTTACACCTGGCTATTATGCAAACACTGAAGGTACCTGAATTTGCTCCCCACACATCCCTTTTCTGCCATGTGCCTGAAGGCAAGGAATTCGTATTCCTTATCTTTGCAAGTTGCTGTGGGGGCTTCTTCTTTTTGCTGAAGAGCTGAGTAAAAAGTATCCAACAAGCTACAGGGTCAGTCTTTTAAAAGAGGCCCCATGGAACATGTGTACTCTGTATCCATGGGGCCTCTTTTAAAGGACTCACCCTGTAATAACTAAGAGCAGCTCTGGAATGCTTTAAAGATAAGGAGAAGGTGGTTGTACTGACCCCAGAAGGAGCAGGAAGCCAGGGTAGGAATTTGAAGAATCGTATCACATGCATTGCCCATGAACATCCTCTGCAAATAGGAGGGATGAATTGCTAGCCTTGGACCCTTGCAGTATGAATGCTTTAACCCAGGAGACATGCAACCAGTCAAGATTTCTTTTGCTATTTTTTCCCTTTTCAGATCACTCAGGGTGAACCCCAGAAATCATGCGCCAAGCCGGTAGCAGAGAAAGTTACAGACAGTTGCCAACAGATCTGCCAATGTAGACCACCTCCGCTACCGCCACCGCCACCGCCTCCTCCGCCCCCCAGGTTGCTTGGGGTCCCATGTAAGTAGAATGTGGTTATTTCTATTTGTGTTTAAAAAAAGGCACACCTGGGCAAAGTGCATGTGGGAAAGTGAGTGGGCCAGAGCTAATGTGGGGCTGCTTGCGCACTATATTTTTAAAGCATCGTGGTACCGCTTTCACAGTCATGCTTTCCCTCAAAGAATCTTGGGACCTGTGGTTTGTTAAGACTGCTTAGAGTTGTTTGGAGACTCTGCTGCCTCATAGAGCTACAATTCCTCGAGTTCCCTCAGAAGAGGGAATTCTCTGAACTCTGGAGATTGTAGCTCTAAGAGGGAATAGAGGTCTCCAAACAGGCTCTCAGCAAACTACAGTTCCCAGGATTCTTGGGGGAGCATTTAAAGTGGTCTGATACTTCTTTAAATGCATTGGGTGGATATGGCCTCACTTTCATTTTTCCATTTAGAGAATTGGAACATGTTCTGACTAAAAGAGGGAGATGCGTTTTGGCTCGTTGAACAGGAATTTCTTCAGCGGAGCCAGACAAATTCCCTCTGTTCCCAACCAGGTGGCTGTTTTCTCAAAGCAGCTCGTTAACGTTGGAGCCACTGAGTCGTTCGTTTCCTATGTTGCCTTTTGATTCGCATTAGCATATACTAAATATTTTATGATCCCGCCTTTCGGTGGGTTTATATTTCCCCCCAGATTCATCTTAACAAGCTCACCTCCGCACGCAGCTTTGGAAGTGTAATTAGATGTGTGGGTGTGTGAGATTACACACTTTTGTTTGCTTATCTTTACAACCTGCCCTTCCCTAGATGGTCCCAGGGCACGTTACAAAACAGCGTCACAGTCCCAACCAAGCAATCCACCCCACCCTTACACCCTTAGATTCCTGCATTGCAGGGGGTTGGACTAGATGACCCTTGGGGTCCCTTCCAATCCTACAATTCTATGATTCTGAGGTGTCTGTGTATGTTGGATTTGGAATAGGTGTCCTTCCACTCAGCTCTCCTGGTCGCAAGGGTCACTCCACCAGTGCCACACTTCCCCTTCCACATGCAAATAGGTAACCAGGAGTGCCATTGGTAGGATATGCAGCTGGTTGAAAACACCAAAACAGGGCCTGAGGTAGCCCAGGATCCACCAAAACCTGAGTTAGTCTGATGGCTGTTACACAATGAAATTGGGCCAGATGCGGGCCATTTGTCCTGTCCCTTGCTTCCTCCATGACTTCAATGAAAACATCAATGCGTTTCAGAAGCCCAGTGAGCTTCAGCTAGGCATTAGTCATCTAGCATTGCTAGACCCCAGTTGTGGGATGTACCTCCTGCAGAAGTCCTGGGAAGCTCGTCTCAGGCTGGTTACAAGGGTTTGAGTATACAGGCAACTCCCCATTTGCACAGGGGTTGCGTCAGGGCCAATGCATGTGTCAGCAGGTACACACATGCCCGTTCGCTGCCATTCCACTCCCCAAAATGGTGTGCGTGTATATCCCCAATGCACACAAATCAAGAGTTTCTGTAGGTGTTTTTGCCTTTACACAGAACTCCTTGGAACCGAACCGCGGCATAAGATGCAATCGTACTACATTACATGAACGACTTCAATTATTTCCGTTTTTCTCAGTAATCCCTCTGCTTCTTTCATGCAATTGTTAACTTGCCATTTTTTCCCATAAGCTTCTAATTATCTCTGTTCCACTAGGGCTTACCTTTCTCTCCCCCGTACGTTTTGTATATACTTAATGTATACAAAATATAATTATACTTGGCGCTGTGGGTTAAACCACAGAGCCTAGGACTTGCCGATCAGAAGGTCGGCGGTTCGAATCCCTATGACAGGGTGAGCTCCCGTTGTTCAGTCCCAGCTCCTGCCAACCTAGCAGTTCGAAAGCTCACAGTGCAAGTAGATAAATAGCTACTGCTCCGGCGGGAAGGTAAACGGCATTTCCGTGCACTGCTTTGGTGCTCCAGAAGCGGCTTAGTCATGCTGGCCACATGACCTGGAAGCTGTATGCTGGCTCCCTCGGCGAGTAAAGCGAGATGAGCGCCGCAACCCCAGTCGTCCACGACTGGGCCTAATGGTCAGGGGTCCCTTTAATCCTTACTAAAATTAATGCCGTGGGGCTGCAGTTTCCATCATTCCCAACTGACCATTGACCATACTGGCTGAGACTTACATCAACATCTGGAGGTTGGGGAAGAGGGCTGTGCACTGTGGCTCTGATGCTCACGTGGAGTTGCAGGGCAGCTGTGTGTGTGCATCCCCAGTGTGAAAATGGAGCTGTTGCTATTGTGAACGCAGAAGCACATGCTCTCTGTTGCTTGAAATTGCACTAATAATAATTGTTGTTGTTAATAATAGCTGCGAGATTCTTTGCTCTCAGCTCATTGTGTCATCACACTCTGCATCGGGAGGGGCACCTACCAGGTTAGAAGTGGTGCCTAGTAAGGGAAGGCCTTCACAGGAAAACCTCCTTTTTATTACAGAAAATTGCCCAGTTGCCTGCAATTTGGCAGTTCAGTCACTTGGAGCTCGTACCATTCATTCCTATCAGCGCTCAAATAAATACCTCTTTATACATCATTATGGGAATGCAATATTTATGAAAGTCTCTCTCTCTCTCTCTCTCTCTCTCTCTGTGTGTGTGTGTGTGTGTGTGTGGATAGGTAGCACCCATCTATGATTGTGCCATTTTTCAACTCCCCAAATGAAAACCCTGTCAGTGTCCTCATTTGCAAAATTAAAAAAGTTAATACTAGTCCTTGCATTCTTTAGAGAAATATATTAGCAGGATTAAGGCTGGAGAGAATGAAAGAAGCAGATTTGTCTTTCTGCTTCTCTCTGTCTTTGTCTTGGAAATGTTTCTTTGCAAGGGGATATTTGTCTGTATCTGTGCCACACCGCAGGGTGTAAAGCAAGGAGCAAAATAACAGTATTTTGTACCATTTGGCAAAGATACTGTATATTGATAGCTTTAAAAATAAAAAGTCAGTAGATTGAGTTTCAGGAAGAAAAAATGTGTCAGCGTTTAGGAGGACAGTGTACTGACTGAATCACTTTCTTATATCCCCGCCCCCAAAATAGAGAAAACAAAGGGTATCTGAGCAGCCAGATCTCTCTGGCTTATCTCTCTGGCTTTATTTTGGGGTCTGTCCAGCGACTACATTGGGCAGAGAGACCTGTACATGCAAGCAGAAGGTGCTTGGACCCACTTTGGGGAAATTCTCTGTAGCTGTTTATGATTTTAGGTGTTTCACCAAAAGCAGGTTGTTGTTTTTCAGCCTTAAGCTGAAAAACTTTTATTTCTTCATTATACATATTTTCAGGTTGTTTCCTCTGTGCTTCCACTTAGGTTTCAAGTTGTTGTTGTTTTGTTTTGTCTTGTTGACAAGTTGTTGTTTGATTGCTTTTGGATTTTGGAGAGGTCATGAAGTTGGTATTTATTGCATTTTGTGGATTAGCTTTTATTGTATGTATGCTTTATTGTTTTAGGCTGCTATACTCTTTAAAAGGGATGTGGGTGGCGATGTGGGTTAAACCACAGAGCCTAGGACTTGCTGATCAGAAGGTCAGCGGTTCGAATCCCCGCGATGGGGTGAGCTCCCGTTGCTCGGTCCCTGCTCCTGCCAACCTAGCAGTTTGAAAGCATGTCAAAGTGCAAGTAGATAAATAGGTACCGCTCTGGCAGGAAGGTAAACGGCATTTCCGTGCGCTGCTACTGTTTGCCAGAAGTGGCTTAGTCAGTCTGGCCACATGACCCGGAAGCTGTACACTGGCTCCCTCGGCCAGTAAAGCGAGATGAGTGCCACAACCCCAGAGTCGGTCACGACTGGACCTAATGGTCAGGGGTCCCTTTACCTTTACTCTTTAAAAACAAATAAATACATTTGCCCCTGGAGCTTTCTCTGATATTAAAGTGACCAGGATAGCCCCTGCTCATGCAGAGTCTTTGTGTGTACATTCTCACACAATTAAAGACACCTTGGTTGCCTGATTATACGGCTTCTGTTTTAGCCCATTAATTGATGCATTCATTAGGCCTTCAAACTTTTGCATGAGCATAAAGCAATATTTCAAAAGCCTATTCTTTCCTTTCTTTGATGATGCTTGCACATGCTGCACCAGACTCTTTCAGAATAACACAGGAAGCTGCATTACACCAGATCAAAGTTTTTGTTCATCTAGCCCTGTAATGTCTACTCTGACCAGAGAAACTGTGCTACCTGAGGCAGGTATTGTGAATGTTGCCTCCCCTTCCTTCTCAGTGCTGCCCTCTGGGGAATGGGTCCTTCATCAAGCATTGTGGGCAAGGTCGGTCCAGGCAGCATCTGTGCCACTAGTAATTTCAATAAAAATCACAGTCATAATATGATAGTAATAACTAACGTTATTTTTCTAGAAAAAGAGGTGCTGGAACTCAACATGAACACCATCGGTGTAGCCGGGGGGGCAGGGGGGCAGCTACCACCCTAAATTTATCAAAATAAATAGAAATCAATACAAATCTGAGGTTTGCCCCCCAACAAAAGTCTGCCCCCCCCAAAAAAAATCCTGGCTACGCCCATGATGAATGCCCTCTTTCTCTTAGAATGGCAGTAGCACCCACCTGAGAAGTTCCGTAACCCCTAAGAGGTGCTGGAACCGAGTTCCTATGAGTTTCCCCTGAAAAAAGCAATTATTATTATTTGTAGTAGTAGTAGTACTCTGCCCATCTGGCTGTGTTGCTCCAGCCACTCTGGGCGGCTACCAACAAAAGCATAATAAAACATCAAAAATTAAAAACTTTCTTATACAGTGTTGCCTTCAGGTGTCTTCTAAAAGCTGTATAGTTATTTATCTCCTTGACATCTGACGGGAGGGGGTTCCACAGGGCGGGCGCCACAACCGAGAAGGCCCTCTGCCTGGTTCCCTGTAACCTCACTGTAACCACCAGAAGGCCCTCGGAGGTGGACCTCAGTGAACAATGGGGGTAGAGACGCTCCTTCAGGTACATAGGGCTGAGGCCATTTAGGGCTTTAACGGTGATGTATACACAGTAACAGTGGTGCATATTATAAAACTTGAAGTTTAAAGTTACTTTAACTAGCCATGCACAGCTGGCTGGCTTTTGAGCAGAAGGAGCTGGCTGGCTCTGCAGGCAACTGATGTGGTGGTGCATGATCACATTGCAGGAGCCACATGGTTCTGTGTGGCTCATGACAGAATCAAGCTCTGCTTCTGGAACTGACTCTCCAGGTTCTCGTGTAGAGATGTGATCCTCTTTTTTCCTTTTGTTTGTTTTTTAATAATAATAATAAAAAAACGCTAGAAATGCCAGAGATTGAACTTAGGACCTTCTGCATGGAAAACATGAGCTGAGCGCTCATACTGAGCTAAGGTCTCCCTCAAATCTTTTTTTTAATTATTATTATTATCTCTAGAACTCAAGGTCTTCAATCTCAGCCACGATAATGGCCCAATTTGTTACTGATTTGTACTTGTACCCATGCCAGCATAAAAGAGAAGGGGGGAAAAACCTTTCCGAGTAACTACTTGGCAAGTATTCCAGCACAAAGTGTACAGTTCAGTTTTGTGGAACTTGGAATGTTTGTGCAGTTGTCATGAACGGAAACTTAATCGGCATGGTCATCTCAAAGCCTTTTGGGTTGAGGCCTAAAAGATCAGGGATTGGGTTTCTAGATAATAACCTTATCAACTTTGGGACTACTTTTACATATGAAGCTTTGGGCATTTTTACTTGACCTGTTGGTGACCTTTATGCTCATTTAAATTTTGTTGTCTGTTAATTGTTCATATAAGGTAAAGGGACCCCTGACCATTAGGTCCAGTCGCAGACGACTCTGGGGTTGCGGCTCTCATCTCGCTTTATTGGCTGAGGGAGCCGGCGTACAGCTCCCGGATCATGCGGCCCGCATGACTAAGCCGCTTCTGGTGAACCAGAGCAGCGCACGGAAATGCCGTTTACATTCTCGCTGGAGCGGTACCTATTTATCTACTTGCACTTTGACATGCTTTCGAACTGCTAGGTTGACAATTGTTCATATAGCTGTTGATTATTATTTTTTTAGGGCTGTGTTGTAGCGATACTAAACTTTTCATTACGCTTTTATATTTAGATGGGACAGTATCCAACTAACTCGTTCCATCAGTGCAAGGATTTCTGCTTGTGCATTGGAATTTGACTCTTCCTCTCCCCATGCACCCCCTAAATCTCTGCTTACCCCCCCCCACAAGCCTCTGGAGCAGAATTGGGGAGGACACGGGGTGGGTAGTTCCATTGCACAAGTGGAAATCCTTGCGCTGACAGGGTGAGTGAGTTGAATAATGCCTCTGTGTTTCATGTGAAGCACTTTGAGCACAGATGTATTTGTGGGAAATGTGGTATGCAAATAAATTGACTTATGGTGATGATATGTAGCAACAAGAGGGCTGTTGGGCTGCAGCTCTGAAACTTGAGAGGGTGTGTGTGTGTGTGTGTGTGTGTGTTGCTCTTTGTCTAATCCACAGTCCTCAGCTATGGGAGCAGCTGTGCTCTTTCTTGTTGTTGTTGTTTAGTCGTTTAGTTGTGTCCGACTCTCCATGACCCCATGGACCAGAGCACGCCAGGCCCTCCTGTCTTCCACTGCCTCCTGCAGTTTGGTCAAACTCATGTTAGTAACTTCGAAAACACTGTCCAACCATCTCGTCCTCTGTCGTCCCCTTCTCCTTGTGCCCTCAATCTTTCCCAACATCAGGGTCTTTTCCAGGGAGTCTTCTCTTCGCATGAGGTGGCCAAAGTATTGGAGCCTCAGCTTCAGGATCTGTCCTTCCAGTGAGCACTCAGGGCTGATTTCCTTAAGAATGGATAGGTTTGATCTTCTTGCAGTCCATTGCTCTTTCTTACCAAAGGTAAATTCTTCAGGGGAAGAGATCTGAACTGCCCAGAAACAGCTCGCTGGATGGGGCAGAGCCACTATGCAAGTATCCCAGCGAGTGAGTCTTTGTTGCTTACCATGAATGACAGGGAGGATGCAAGTATTTCCACTGTGGTGAGCTCCCTCCCTCCTCTCCCTCCCATAAGCAGCAGTGACCCACCTGCTGGGAAACCAGCATAGCAACTCCACTCCACTTAGGACTCAGCTATACAGCTGCAAATATAATGTTTTAAGTGCGTTTTAAGTGCATTATAGAAATGTGATACTAGATGGTGCTGGTGAGCTAATGGCAAGTTCCAAATATATTTTGAAACGTTTTTTAAAAGCACTTTCGTAGCATTTTTTAAAATGTATGTGTATGTGTAGATTCAGCCCCAGTGAGCTGCTGCCACTGCAGCTGCCCACAAATACATTTTTGAAGGTCACTTCGCCTTCCACACCTTCTGCTTCTGTAGGGTTTCAAAGTGTGGACCTCCAGATGTACATGCAGAGAACTTGTGTTGTTGGGTGGATGGAGGTCAGGGAAGGGACTAGGGAGTACAATGCCTCTCTGCATGTTCAGTATATATGGTCAGGGGAACAAGTGAATTAGATTTTTAATGTTTCTTCATTAGACTTTAGCATGAGAGCTCTTCAGGATGAGACCAAAGGTCTTTTTTGTTGAGCATCTTGGCTGATCAGATACCCATGGGAGACCTGGATGCTGGATATTAGTGCAATAGCCTCTCTTGCTGTTCGCCAATGACTGGTATCCAGAGGCAATCATTATTAGTAGCCATTGATAGTCGTATCCTTGGTGAATTTATCTAATCACATTTTTATTCACTCTCTCTCTCTCTCTCTCTCTCTCTCTCTGTCCATATCCTTTCATCTCCAATGAAATGAGCTCAAGGAAACATCTATGGTTCTTCCTTCTCTCCCTTCATTTGATCCTCACATGTGAGGTATCCTGGGCTCAGAGGGAGTGACTGGCCCATGGCTCAAGGTCAGCAAGTGACTGAGTGGGAGATTTGAACCCCTATCTCCTTGATCCTAGTCCACGACTCTTATCAACACTACACCATGCTCCTATCATCCTTTAAGCCAGTGGCCATCTTCACATCTTGCAGTCCCAAATTCCATAGTTTTAAATATGGGCTGTGTATTCCTTTCTCATTTGATCTCTGTTAAATAGCTAGTTGAAATCCCTCTGGTTTTGCTGTGAGTCACTCTCTTTTTTAGCAATATTGTTCCATTTGGGTAAAAACGTTTCAATAAAAAGAAAACCCCAAATGTTAGCCCATTTGTCCATGCCCTTTGCTCTACAGACTGAAGACTCAGATGCTTCAGAGAATGTTATTGATGAGTCAGATGCTGCTGATTTTCATCCAAAGTAATCTCTAGGCTCCCCTGGCAGTGGCGGGAACAGAGCTGTGCTTCGTTCTGACAATTCAATAAATGTATCTTAATTGGCACAAGCCCCAACCTGTTAGAAACAAGATCCAAGTCATTGTCCTGATTGCCTGCACAAGCTCATTGCAGAGACTCATTATGGTTTCAAGCTGCTGTTGCTTTTTTTTGGGGGGGGGGGTGTTGAAAGGCATTATATTGTCTTAAAATTCACCATGCAGAAAAGAGGTGTAATTAGAATACTTCAGATATCAGAAAGCAAGAGTCCCAATCCCCATACAGCCATGAAACTCACTACGTGACTTAGGGCCGGTCACTGTGTCTCAGACTAACCTACTTCACAGGGTTGTTGTGACAATTAAACAAGGAGTGGGAAAAGCATATACCTTACCTTGAACTCATTGAAGGAAAGACATGGTGTAAGTGTAGTAACAATGACAACAGAAACAAAAAATATAAATTCACAGGCAAAACATCTGAGGATTAAAATTTCTGCAAGACAGCAATTAAAAATGAATAATAATAATTCCAAAATGCAGCATCAGAAAAAGATGGTTACGTCTTGTAATGACTAACAGAAGATAGTTTGCAAGTAAGCATTTATGTAGGGTCCATTGGCAACTTTGAGATCTTCTGTATACTTTTTCATAATATTACAGTTTGTGCTTGATCTCTTTTTTATAATCTGAGGAAAGGCTTTGAAAAACATTGCTGCATGTATCCTGATTTGCATACAAGATAAAGTTTTACCACACTATATACAAACCAAACGGTAGCTAATTTTAAGTTGGTAAGTCCAATTTTCTGCGCTGGCTATTGGTCATAACTCACTGGACTGAGAATTCAGTGCCAAAAGTTCTGCTGTTTTCCAGTGAGTTAACTTAAGCTGCACCTATCCTGCCTTTTCACTTTGTAAGGTCTGCTTACATTGCAAGTTTATAATAAAAGACACATAACTTAAGAACCAAGATTCTGAAAGCAGTCAGCCCTAAAATGCAAACTACAATAAACAGAATGAGCTGCAGCATCAAAATAGAACCAGAGATTCTATTAATGCTTGTTTGAAAGCATGAGAAAATAAAATCTTTTTTTTAAAAAATGTATTCAGAAGATGAGGGAATAGACGGGCACCTGGTGAATGTTTCTGGGAAGGGTATTATTCCGTTCTTGCAAGGGAGTGAAGAAATACAGATGCTCCCACTGATTTAAACCATTGGCACATGTAGTCTGGTATGATCTAACCTTGGCAGTGCCTCTGCAAGGATTCAAGGCTAAATTACATTTGACATTAAAATGCATTTTTGCACTCGAAATTTACTTTATTAAAAAATGCAAAAAGCAACCCTCCAGGATGCGGGTGGTTACTGAAAATTATTGGGAACTCAGCAGGCTGGATGTGTTTGTGTTAACCCTTTCCTCCCCTGCTGCAGTCCCAATGAAAATTGCTTCTTTTTCTATTGGGAGGAAATCCCTCACTGCTGACAACGGCTGTTTTAAAGAACACTCACATTTAATGCAAAGACACATTTAAGCACCAAGTCTTCCTAGTTAGGCCCTTTCCCTGAGATCCTTTAGCTGGAGTTGCTGAGAATTGCATCTTGGACCTTATACACTGAGTCCATGCCTGGGCTGATCTTGCTTTAAGGCTAGTACCCTTTAGGTTTGCAGCTGGATCCCTTTAATTCACTTGCCATTTATAAATTTATGCAAGCCACTATTTTCACACAGACCGTGCTTCGAGGTGCCATCCTCCAAATAAACCTGACCTTGCAGAGTTCTCCCTGAACTTTCCAGTGTTCAGACAACAGAACGGCCATGACTGTAAATAAAAGAGCTATTAGAACTTCTGGTTCAGGGCCTGACACAGCTGAGGAAAGAAATCATTTCTTGCATTCTTGTTTCTGTAGCCCCAGGGGCCTTGCTGTAGTACATTCCATTTTGACCTTGGATGAAACCACTTTTTAAGAAAATGGAAAGCAAAAGTTTATTTGAGGGAAATTGGCACTGTGCCTGCTTCCCTATTAAGTCTTTGGAAAATACGGAGCATTCTGTGTATTGCGTATGGCACAGGACACTAGAAACATTTGGTAAGGCTATACATTCACACTATACATTTAAAGCAGCGCCATACCATGTTAAACAATCACACTTTCTACCAGAGAATCCAGGAAAATGTATCTAAGAGTGCTCAGAGTTTTTAGGAAGCCACTTTCCCACACATACAGCTACAATTCTCAGGGTTGCCTGGGGAGAGGAATTGATGGTTAAACCACTCCCTGGGATTTGTAGCTTTGAAACTTAGGCCAGCCTTCCCCAAGCTGGTGCCCACCAGAAGTTGTGGCCGAGGAGTCATCAACAGATGCCTACAGAGGCCTTCCCTGAGTCCTCTCCCCTTGCCAATTTTGCTTGAAAGAAGTACTGTGTTGTAACCGATAGAACCGGTGGATCCCTGTCCACAACACATCCTCTTGTTCACAGATGTGCCCATGGCCCCTGACTTAAATTGGCAATTCCTGCTTTGGGCTACAGTCCGCCCAAGTGAGCATGGCGCCAGTTTGGGAAAGGCTGACATAGGCATTTGCCATATTCTGGACCAAAGCAGATAACTGCTTCCCAAAGGCTGCAAATAAAAAGATGACAGCTTCTATCATCCAGCTCGTAAACTGGGCCAAATGAGCTTGCCTCAGCATGTTCAGTAATATGAAGCCTGTTCATTGTCTTCAGCTTGTCAACCTCAATATCGTTCTGCAAATTTCTAAATAATTAGTGTAGAGACAACCCCCGTTTAGAATGTGAGGCAAGTACTTTATAGTCAAACATGACTGAAAGTACTTTTGAAGAAAGCTGTTTCGTTTACTGTACTGTGGGATCGTTTTATTTTGTGGAATATTCAAATGGAATATTTGTTTTGTTCAAAATATTTATATCCCGCCTTCCACCTGCAGTTTTTGAGGTGGCTTTCAGTGCACAGCTTGTGATTGATTATGCAGGGTGGGGTTTACCTCCCCCCCCCCCAGTGTTTCATTCAGGTTGGCACCTCTGCCGGTTGGCACCATGAAGATACAAGGTGCATCAGATGTGTGGGTCGGTATGCTAGTTTTCCTGATTATAATGCTAGAACATTTGTCCAGGTTTTGAATGTTCCTTTTACACTGCCGTTACCTGTTGCACTACGGAACTGTGGCTTTCTGATCCGTATACTGGTGGGCATGTTCTGCTAAATTTCATTCACACCAGTGGGGTTCAACGCAATAGCGGACATCATTGGACAACATGTTGCCACCCTTTATGTGAATGTGCACTTCTGATCCCTCATGAATATGACGGGAAATGCTGGAATACCATCCCAAAGTTCGTCACATGGCGTGATCCATGAAAATGGCGGGAAAATAACTGTGCCTATCTCTCACGATTTTCCAGGTCAACAGGATTGCAAACAGATTTTTTTGTTGTTGTTGAAGGGAAGCAATTAACAGGGAAATGAATGCTAAGCTTCCAGTTGATTCCACTAGATTTCCAGAAGCATCACATAAAACATTGAACAAAACGCAAAAGTTAACAGGCAGCAAAACATTGTGAAAATGGAACAAAGCGCTGTCTGAATGCATCCACAGTGGTGGAGGGAAAATATGGCTTCTTTGCTCCAATCACCACCACATTATAGGCCAGATAATGAACTCATATATTTATTAGGACGGATTAATTTTTAAAACAAACACCCCTTGAGTTTTAATTGTCTCCTAGACTGCCTCATTCTTTAAAAAAAACAAAAGCAGGTTGGGGCTCTGTGGAGTAGGAGAGGGTGCTTAGAGGCTATTGCATCCAGTACCTCAGTCGTGTCCTTATTTCAGAGAGAACAGAGTTTCTGATGAGAGTGGCAGCCATACCATACCAACATACTAAGGGCAACCCAAAAATTTTGGATGCGCTTCTGAGGGGTAGAACGTCCTACCTGGTCAATTTCCTCCGAACTGAGCCTTTTCCTCTAGAAATTAGAATAATGAAGAACATTTTCTGGCACCACCGGAATTTAGAGAGGGTTCACGAGTGACTGGCGCAAGGCCAGGACCAGCAACTTAATTTTAATCTGCCGTAGAAGATGTGTGACTTGTGACTCACAAGTCACTTGTGATTGACTTATCCATAGTGGCTTTGATAACAGAGCTTCCTGCCCCCTGCTACCCAGGCAGTTTCTCTCCTGCGAAATGGCATGGCTCTTTTTTTCCAAGGCAGTCAGTCTGGCACCTTTTGCAAGCAAAACATTTATCCTTTTAAAATGGTGAGCGCAACTCCCATGTATCATTCATTATATTTATTTTTAGATCTTGCCGTGGGGGCTTCTGCTGACAAAAACAAAAAAGCAAAAAACAGAACCAAGGGAAATAAAAACCGCTACACTGTTGTTGTTTTTTAAATGACTGCAGATTTGTAGCAGCACTGTAGAACTGTATCTCTCTACACATCTGGGAGCTGAGGTGCCAGAATTAACAACATGGTTATGTGACAGAACGTACAGTTTAATGCCTTCCTGGTTTGTTCCTTTTGGTACAATGGAGTGAATGGTACCCATGGTTTCTATAGGATAATACTCTGTATTGATTCATACTTAACACGATTTGCAGCTTTCCAGCTTCATGCTGGTGTAGCCTTCGGTTTTCTCCATCCATATATCTGTGCACAGTAATAATACTAATATGTGGCTATCTACAGCACACACCTAGGCATATTTATTCAGAAGTAAAGATGGGCAAATATATCAGTTTTGGTTTCACATTTTTCCAGTCTTACAGTCTGTTCTCCACATTTTCACATCAGTTTGCGATCACTATTATTTGAAAAACGATTCTAGTGAAGAGCATTTTAGTGTGGATTTTTCCCACTGTCCACACCTTTAGCTGCATAGTTCAGTTGGTTAGAGTGTGGTGCTATTAATGCCAAGATTGCAGGTTCAATCCCCATAAGGACTCCCCATGGATTCCCTCCCATAGGGCAGCTGCTGACAGATGGCCTGGCAGGGGTGGGGAGCAACTAACTGAAGTGAAAACAGCGGCCTTCTTAGCCTCCCTCCATCTCTCTTGCTGCTCAGTTGTAATCGGGGTATTACCACTGAATGTACGAACAAAGTACTCCAGTGCCTTTGTTCAATAAATAGTATCTGAAAAGTTCTCAGATTAAGTTCAGTAGAGTGGTACCTCGGGTTACAAACGCTTCAGGTTACAGACTCCGCTAACCCGGAAGTAGTACCTCGGGTTAAGAACTTTGCTTCAGGATGAGAATAGAAATTGTGCGGCGGCAGCACAGTGGCAGCAGGAGGCCCCATTAGCTAAAGTGGTACCTCAGGTTAAGAACAGTTTCAGGTTAAGAACAGACCTCCAGAACAAATTAAGTTCTTAACTAGAGGTACCACTGTATTCCACCTCTTCTATATATTTGGCTTAAAAAGTGGCTTCTGCCTGCCTACCGCCATTCACCTGAGAATCACATAATTATAACAATAAAATTAAGGAACAGAATCTGACTTTTCCCAGAAGAGGGATTCCAATGTTTTATCTACTCTGACTGAGCAATGGGTCCCTGGGGTTTTTAGGCATGAGTTCTCCCCAGTCCTGCCTGGTGACACCACAGGAAGATCCCTGGACTTTTTGTGTGCATACTGTGTGCTTTTACTCCTGTGTTAGTAGGGTGGGTCATTCTAGGGGGTGGGACTTAATTTTTGCAAATTTCTTCAGTGAGGGGTTTGAAAAATATGTTTGTGTGTGAGGAATTCAAATATGCCTTTATTTTTGTGATTGGAGAACATTTAGCTTGGTAAACCTATGTTTGAAGAAGAAGCACGTAAACTGCTTTCAGAAAACCCAAAAAATTTAATTTTACCTTCTAAAAATGTCAGGTAGTGCTAAATAATAATAAAATAATATTGCTACGTAATAAAACTGCAGGCACTTGGCAATCATTTTTAATGATTTCTGTGCAATTTTACGCACATTTTACTTACCAAGCAAAACTAAATTCTATTAATTTAACCAAAATATCTTTTGAATTCCCAAGTCACGTTGCAACCTTTTAGCACCCCTTACTTATGGAATTTGAAAGTTGAAAAATTCAACATGGCCTGCTATGCTAGGGTCTCTCTGTTGAGGCAGATATCAGAAGTGAATGCTTTTTGCAATTGCTGCATCTTCTTCCTGCCAAGAAAAAATGCAGGTATTTCCTGTACCTCATGCATCTGTTAAAACCGCTGAACCTTCTGCTGTTTTGGGGGGGGGGGGAGGCAGAGAAGGGGAAAAGTTTTGGAAGAGCATAGTTCTATGTTAGGGCATCTGCTTTGCATGTGGAATATCCCAGATTCTATTCTCTCTGCAAGCAAATCAGGCTAAATGCTCATTAAACAGGAAGCAGCCTATGTATAGTGATGGCCCCCAATTTAGGAGCATAGGAAGCTGCCTCATATTGAGTCAGACCATTGGTTCATTTAGCTCAGTATTGTCTTCATTGACTGACAGCAGCCCTCTGGGGTTTCAGACATGAAGACATTCCCAGTTCTACCTGGAGATACCAGAGATCAAACCTGGGACCTTCTGCTTGCAAAGCAGATTGCCTACTGTTGAGCTAATGCTCTTCCCCTCCCTCAGTTAGTGGCACACTTAACAGAGAAGAGGCGGGAGAAGGTATATGAGGGACATGGTGGGATGGGTGTTAAAAGAGAGGGAGGAAGGCTTGGTTTGTTTCTGCAATCAGATTCTCAAATCGCTTGCTGATTTGAACTAGCCTGTAGGTCTCCTCTTCTCTCATTGTGCATATACCGTATTTTTCGCTCTATAAGACACACCAGACATAAGACGCACCTAGTTTTTGGAGGTGGGAAACAAGAAAAAAAATATTCTGAATCTCAGAAGCCAGAACAGCAAGAGGGATTGCTGCACAGCGAAAGCAGCGATCCCTCTTCCTGTTCTGGCTTCTGGGATAGCTGCGCAGCCTGCATTCGCTCCATAAGACAAACATTTCCCCTTACTTTTTAGGAGGGAAAAGTGAGTCTTATAGAGCAAAAAATACGTGTGTGTGTGTGTGTGTGTGTGTGTGTGTATGCTTTTGTAATAATAGAGTTCTTGTCCTGCACACTCCACTAGGAATTTCATGAAAATGAATGAGAAGGAATATCATTTACCACATTCATTCCTCTCCATTACAGCTTTCATACTTCATCTGGATTTTATTTAGGACTGAAAAAGCAGGTTTCAGATGTAGAGAGAAGTAAACTTAATTGAGGGGAGTTTGAGCCTTGGGTGGTTCTGCACTGTTTCAGAAAGATTGCCATCATCCTGAAAGACGTTTCTCTAGCTAGAGAGCATAAAACAGTACTTAACAGTTACAAATACGGAAATTTCTTCTTGGCTCACTTTTTCTCTTCTAGGCAGTATACCAAACATACAACATTCGCTACACTGTCACTCCTACAAAACGAGTTGGCTGTTCCCCACCCTGGTTGCCTACCATTCAGCAGAGAATTAAACCATTCTGTCCAATTTCAGCTTTTGCAAGTCATATCTTTAGTCCAGTGGCCTGTGAAGGATTTCAGATTCTGACGTGTCTGTCTAATAACCACATGCTGTTATCAGAATCTCCTCTTGCTCCAAGATTTGATGCAATTTTCCATGTTGCTCGTGGTTGATCAAGCGTTGCCAGATGCATTTCTGGGGGTCAGGAACTGTGAAGCGAAGCTGATATGGTGACATTCTGGATATGCCAAAGAATCACTGAAGTGCATTCATGAATATTTATAAGACGTATAAATTTTGAAAGCCCAGATCTGAAATATATATATATTTTCTTCAAACACTGAGTGAGTGTTGGAGCACTTCAACTTTTTTCTTAGACTGTGAACATTTAGGTGGGGCCTTGTATTTTTACTTTGAAAACTGCTGATAAATAACATTGTAAACCACTTTCAGAAGCCTGCTTTGGAATTCAGTGCATATAAATAAAATCATAGTAGCAGAAGAAGAAATAAAAATACTAATAAAATCTCGAAGAAAAGAAATCCTTTTCTGTCTCAAGTGGCCAAATAACTTGGGTACAGTGGTACCTCGGGTTACAGACGCTTCAGGTTACAGACTCTGCTAACTCTGAAATAGTACCTCGGGTTAATAACTTTACCTCAGGATGAGAACAGAAATCGTGCAGCGGGAGCAGGAGGCCCCATTAGCTAAAGTGGTACTTCAGGTTAAGAACGGACCTCCAGAACGAATTAAGTTCTTAACCCGAGGTACCACTGTACTAATAGGTATGTTGGAGAATTTCAGGAGAAACTGGAGTGGAAATTTCCAGTGTTGTTCATTTGTCCCAAATCCAGAGTAAAAAATCAATCCAGCAAATACTATTGGTATTCACTGCTGTCAGTCCATTGGATTTCCTTTGCCTTGAAGCAAATGGCATGAAATAATATAGTTTACTTAGAAATCCACATAACAGCAGACAGCAAAACCTGTAGCATAGGGTTACATGCATTGCTGCTCCTTTTCATAATAGACCCATTGAAGACAATTAGCATGTTTAGCGTAGGTTTGTTAATTTCAGTTCTGAGTAGGACTTAGTGGGGTACAACCCCATTGCTCCCCTTCTTCTAAATCCTCCAGAGCAAATTCAGGGCAGGCATTGGGGTGGGAATGGGGAGATGCTGGAAGAAATTTAAGGACTATTTACAGAAATATTGCAAAATTAAGGAACTTTAGAAGGATGTTGGATAGAAACTAAGAGGTTTTTAGCTGTAATGCTTTAAGAGACATGGAAAAAAAGGTTAACAATTGGGTAAAAGATTAATGGTAAGGATTTGCTGAACCAACAAATTGAATTGGAATACAAAGAAGGGAGGTATGAGGAGGTCCAGGGAAATAAGAGTAAGGAAGATAGGTTATGGAACATTATTGTGTTTTTAACTGTTTTATTTTGTATGGTTTTTTTTCTTATTTTTTACTGTTTTTGTTATATCTTAAAACTTTATACTTTTTCTTTATTCTGTACTTTCATGTATCTTTAATAAATATCATTTAAAAAAAAAAAAAAGGGAATGGGGAGATGCTATTGCACAAACATAAATTCTTGTTCACTGGATACCAGCCATACATTTTGCCAGAAGAAGGGAAACAGTACTGCATGTGACAATCACAGGTCAGAACTGGAAATGGATGTGTTCTTCCCACTTTACACACCATGGGTTGTATTCAGCTAACTTTTACTTAGAGTAGAAACATTGAAATTCATGGACCTAAGTTAGCCATGCCCATTCATTTCAGTAGGTCTGATCAGATTAATAGTTGAATGCAACCCAATGCACCTTGACTTGGGTAGGGAGTTTAATTACTGCTCTTCCTTAGCCAACAAAAAGTCTTGGGCCTCCAGTGTTTCCAACTAGCACATGTGCAGATTCATTATTTAAGAGCACAAAGCCATATGCCAGTTCCTTGGCATATTAGCACCAGAGGAAGGCATGGGGGTCAGCCCACAAACATACAAGGAGCTCTGAAGCTTCTGGGCCTTTGGACTGACCCAAGAAGGGATCTTGTGCGTCCTGGTGTCCAGTGCTTCCAGCATCCTCCCAAACAAATTTTCAATGGCCATCACCCTCTTTACACCATGGTCTTCTCTTGAGCTCTAAGATCTACAATGACTATGGAGCCAAACAGGGGGGAAAGTTTGCTCTTTGTCCTTTGATGCTGATGCCATCATTATCAGCCACATTATGAACCTGCATTGTTCTCTGGAGCTGTTTTTTTGTTCAGGGCTGTTTTTTACTGATATTTTGGCAGTTTTATTCTTTCTGTAAACCGTGTTGAGGTTTTATTGCAAATTTTGTGAAATAAACAAATGATGTGGCTTTGTTGTGGGGTGCTTGCAGTTTTGCGCAAGGTCACAAATCTGCTAGGGTGGGTTGGTAGACAGAGCCCTGGACCACAGAAAATGGGGGATCAAATCTTGGTTTCCCTTTGAAGATCACTGCCTGACTTTGGACTAGCAAACGTCTCACAGAGTTGTGAGAATGTTGTGAGGTTATTTGGGAAGTACATTGCCCTAAGTTCCTTGGATAAAGGGTGGGGTATAAATGTGGTGAATAATACAAGCCTGAGATGCTCTGGTAAAACATGAAGTCTCCATTGCCTTAAGCTCTAAACCCACACTGAAAAGGAATTATATGAGTTTTCACCCAGAGTGGTACTACTATGAAACATTGGGGGCTGCTTTGATTCTTTCACAGTATGCAAATCTTTGGCAAGAGCTCAGTGAATAGCTTTTATTTTCTGAGAAATGAATAGCCATCTTTGTCTGGTCACAATTGTGGGAGTTTGAAAGGCCTTACGCTATTCCCAGCTGTGCTGCTGTGGTCAATGTTTTATGTCTTCTTGGAATATGGAGGAATCAAACTACTCCAGAATAGCCAGTGTGGTAAAGTAGTACGACTGTACCATTTGTGCTTGATAAAACTTCCTTAATAGGGTTTATAATTGGACATGTCATTATGGCAATCTCAGCCAACCTAATGCTGCATCTGATGGGCAGCCACCAAGAAATGATGGCGGCCAAAGTTGTTGAACCATTTTCATTTCTGACCCCTGTTTCAGTGGTCTAAGAGTTAGGAGATGAGGTGTAACTCAGTGGTAGAGAATCTGTTTTGCATCTGAAAGGTCCCAGCATCTTTGGATAGAGCTGGGAAAGATACTTTACATACAGAAGACTCCCTTCATTTATGGAAGGTCCAGTCCTTAGCATCTCCAGATAGGGTGGAAGAAGACTTTTTGCAAGAGGAAGGCCAGGGGTTCAGTCCCTAGCATCTCCAAGTAGGACTGGCAAAGATTCACACCTAAATCCTTGGAGGTCAGCTGCCTATCCATGTAGACATCACTGAATTGTGCGGACCAACAGTTGTTACAAGAAAGCTTCAGTGAGCTGATGTAGCAGAAAGATCTGTTGTCTGCTGCTGTATTGTGGTATTCAGAAGGAAACCACAACACACTGTAGGTAATAGAGTAGGGAAAATGTGCTTTGGGTTGTAAACTAAATTCCTTGGTCATGTCCCCAGGAGTAAACTCTGGGCCAGTGGAGCTTCCTAGAGCGTTAAGGTCTTTTTGATAGGACTCAACTGAATGTGTGTCTTTTCCACATTATCTTTTCCAGCTCCTACCGTTCCAAGTTGCCCTACTCGAGAGACGTGGTGGCCAGGCCCAGTTATAATTATTGCAGCATGCTGTACCACACTAGTGTTCCTCTTTCTAGTTTTCATCATTTGCTACAAAGCCATAAAAAGGTAAGACTGTAAGTGTGTTGCAAGATCAGATGCTTTGTGGATGTGCTACCTTATAACTTACAACAGAAGAGCAATGATAAGGAAACTCAAGGAGTTACTAGCCTGGGAATGTTCAGACGACAAGTCAACAAGTACTGAACATGGGAGACTGAGCAGTTCCCTGTTCTGGGTGGAGTTGCACTCACCCTGAAATAACAGATTGTTAGTTTGGGGAAGCTTCTGAATCCATCTTCGTCATTGGAGGTTCAGGTAGCCTCAGTGGCTGGGAGTGTGTTTTACCAGCTATGGCTGGTACACCAATTACAGCTGTTTTGGGACAGTGGTAGTCTGGCTATAATGATTCGTGCTTTGGTAACCTCAAGATGATTGCTCTGTTTGAAGCTGTCCCTGGACTTGGTCCAGAAGCCCCTGCTGTTGCAAAATCACTGCAGCTCTACTGTTGATGGGGACCGACTATTGTCAACAAGCAATTCCAGTGCTCAAAAGCTTGCACTGGCTTCCCATATGCTACCAGGTCATGTTCAAGGTTCTTACAAGGCCTGTAAAAATCTGGATCCAGGATACCTCAAGGACTGAGGACTTCAGGGGAGCCACAGTTAGCAGATCCTGCGGCTCAGATGCATGCCTTGTATCCACTAGGAGTTGTGAATTCTGTGTTGGGGGTCAAATCTTGTGGAACTCTCTTTAGGTTGAGATCAGACAGGCACCTCTCCCTGTTGAACTCCTGGCTCCTATTAAAGACTTTATTCCAACAAGTGTTTTAACTGAATTCTGATCTTATAATTTTAATTGGTGTTTATTTTCATTGAATTGAGTTTCTCATTCATCATTAGAGATGACTGTAATTAAGCAGCATATTAATTGTTAAAATAAATGAATGATGCCAGGAAATGCAGGCAATCCCATACACATCTGACATATGTTTAAAGTTAAGAAATTCCAGGCAAATTTGTATGCAAAAATTGTGTATGATAGGACAAATTCACTGTAAAATGCTGATGAATTTTCATGTGGACTGGTTTTTTTTGTTGTTTTTTTAAAAAAAAGCACAAACTCATGCAAATTTAAGATTGGAAAAATGAGAAACTGAGCGAGGTCAAAATTGACATAATCACCCATCCTTTTACCCTCATTCGTAAGAAATGTGAGACAGCCTTTAATGGAGGGGGTGAAAACCCTGTGAAAAGCTATTCCCATAAACAGTCCAATAATACGACATGTAACATAAGCATTTGCAACGCATAAGGTGGAAATCCCCCCTCTTAAATGAAATCACAAGGAAATGCCATTTTGAAATCTCATTTAGTTCTTTGAAAACTCACCATATGTCACAAAATCCCGCCGTCTGCCTGCAGGACATTTGTAAATTATCCATCACTTGGATTGTCCTCGTTTTTTCATTCATGTAGTGCAATGGCATGTCCTATTGCCTAATAGCAACACTTAAAGTTATACTGCCCCCTGCCTAATGCATGGTTAGCTGGTGGCATGAAGGGGGTATCTGAGCTGGGCTTCCTGTTCCTGCAAGCTGAATATTGGTAAGTATGCAGTGCCAGGAACATATCTTGCTGGTGCTATATATACAGATCCCTGAATTCACAGCTGCTGAATGCAGAGGATTTTGCACTCACGCCGCATCATAAGTATGCAGGGGGTGCACATAGTTTGTCAAGCTGGCTCAAGGCCTGTTTGCAGGGGGCGGCAGGAGCCATAGGCAATTCTGGAACCCCATGGTGGTGGGTGCCATGTTGCAGTACAGTACCTTACAGAAGGCACAGGACCTGCAGTTTCTCCATCTCTCTCTTCCTTTGGACCTTTCACCTGCTCCCTCCTTGCCCCCATATTTCATCATCTGATTTAGTGTTGCTTGGATTAGCTGTAGTGAAAATGAGGCACAGGTTCTCCTCTATCCAACAGCATCGCTGCAAAGAGAAGTTTGGAAGTTTCTACTTGCATTTTAGATGAGCCACAGTTTAGTGTTACATCTTACCCCTAAACTGTGGCCGGCTTTGTAAATTATGGTCTGAAATTGGCCTGTTTGCACTAATTACAATTGAGTCTACCATTTGTCTGGTTTCAGATGTTCCTACAAACTTGTCTGTAATAGAACCAAAAAACTTCTGAACTCCTTCTTGTGGCCGTGCCAGAGGAGGAGGCAGGCGCATGCAAGCCCAGGACTTATTAAGACTCATTTTTACAACATGCATTCAACATGGATGGAATTTTCATGTGATTGAACTTATCTTTTTTTTTAATTTATTTATTCAAAGTTATAACAAAACATATTTTCCAAAAACATATCCTTATTCCCCCCCCCCGTTTTTTCTCCCTCCCCCCCACAAAACCCATCCTCCCACCCCACCCCCCGACTTCCCTCAGTTCCAGTCTTTGGTTTCTCCAATAATGCTATTTTCTGCCTGTTACAGAATTGTGTAGATCTTCAAACTGTTTAGCTAATTATTATCAGTAAAAAAAATTGTGAATGTTTATTCAAAACCTGCCAAGGAGTCCAGTTCGCTTTGTTGCGTCTTCAAATACTTTGTAAAAGGTTCCCATTCATCCTTAAAGTCACAGTTATCCTTGTCCTGTAACCTATATGTCAATTTTGCCAGTTCTGCATAGTCCATCAATTTTTCTTGCCATGATTCTTTAGTTGGGGTTTCTTCAGTCTTCCATCCTTGTGCTACCAGAACCCTTCGCGTACATGAAGATGTTTTTCAACTTTTTTGGCAGGTCTTTCCCCACAATCCCCAACAAAAAAGCCTCAGGTTTTTTAACAAATGTTAAATGGAACATTTTCTTCAATTCATTGTATATCATTTCCCAAATTTTTTAAATTACTTTACAATCCCACCACATATAATAAAATGTTCCCTCCTTTTCCTTACACTTCCAACATATATTTGAACTAGTTTTGTACATTTTCCCTAACTGCACTGGTGTTGTGATTGAACTTATCCACACATTTTCCCCCTAATCCCTCCTTCGCTCCTTGACCTTGATGAGAAACAAACTATTTTATTACTAGTTCTGCTAAAAATGTGAACAGCCAAGTGAGGCATGGATCCACTGGATCTTAAGCCAGGCCATTTCCTAGAGAGGAACTTGATCAAGGCCCCTCTTCTGTGCCAGCCTGGGGACAAAACAATGATATTCCTATCTTCTGCTTTGGGGTGCAGAACAGCAGATCATTCACTGCATCTGCAGTCTCCTTAGGATTACTCTGTAAATTCATTGTATTCTAAAACAGCGCTATCTAAGCCATATCCCTTGCAAACATAAATCAGTGCTGGTTCAGGCAGTACAGTGAGACCAATTGGAACAGCAGGTGATCTCATTGTCTCCTAATCTGTTTTTTGAATCCTTTTTTTTTTTATTTTTACAGTGTAAGGACTTAGATTAGAGCAAGATGAAAAGATTTAGGGGGCAAGCTGGCAGTCTGAAGAGGGCTAAGCACCATAGTTAAAATAACATATGGGATAAAAAGATGGGCAGGCATTATGTAATATTCTCTCTCTTAATTTTAGTGTCTCTGTGGAATTTTATTGTGATAAGATGCTTATATAAAAAGCAAAAAGAACACAAGCCTTTCTCTCGTTATGTAAAGGCATGAGACAGTAACTGTCTCTAGAGACGTAACGGGAATTGCAAGAACTGTACTTCCCAGGCCCTTGTGCTATTGGCAAAATTTAAAGTCTTTATATACTGCTTTTCATCAGAAAAGATTGCAGAGCGGGTTACTAAGAAGGAGCAAACTACAACATGTAAAACAATAAAAATTAAATCCAGTATGGAAGACATAAAAAATAATTCAGTATACTCTGCCAGATGGGCGGGTTATAAATAATAAAGGTATTTAAGTTATTGTTAATAATGCAATACATCACACATCAGACTCCCTGATGTAGAATTCCATTCACTCAGTAGCCTTATGCACATTCATTATGAACGTCTGCTAACACATCTGTACCTCAGTGAATTTAACACCTGACCCATTCACCCACACTCACATACTCTCAACCATTACAGTTCCAGTAATACAAAGGCCACCTACAGCACCGGAAGCCTATCGCTGTTAGGCAAAAACAACATCTAATCTAGGACTATGCAACATTCATGCAGCAGTACAAATGAGAGTGCATGTCCAGGATAGGTGTAAAAGAAGAAGAAGATCGGAATATGGAAGGGAAGCGGTTAAAATGCACATGATTAGTACAGGTGAAAAGTTTAATCTTGCAAGGGAGCAACAAACTAGATGGGAGAAGAAGAAGAAGAAGAAGAAGAAGAAGAAGAGGAGTTTGGATTTGATATCCCGCTTTATCACTACCCGAAGGAATCTCAAAGTGGCTAACATTCTCCTTTCCCTTCCTCCCCCACAACAAACACTCTGTGGGGTGAGTGGGGCTGAGAGACTTCAGAGAAGTGTGACTAGCCCAAGGTCACCCAGCAGCTGCATGTGGAGGAGCAGAGACACAAACCCAGTTCACCAGATTACGAGACAACCGCTCTTAGATGTCCCAAATGACCCCCCCCCCCAATTTAGTATGTGAAAGGGTCTATTAAGAATCATCAGTGCCAGAACCAAACTTCCAAGAATGGCTTTCTTGGCAGCCTGAGCAAGTGACTTCTTCACCCTCCTGGATTTGTAGCACCATGAGTTACTCCTCTCTGACACCAAAGGAGTTGGGAGTTGCTGATAAATGATGCTGTTGCTGAGTCAGCAGAAGAAGTCAGACTCATGGTCCCTCGTCACCTGCAAGATGCTTAGAGGTGTGACTCTCAACCCAGAGGAGGAAAGTACTATCAGTTCCTTGGGGTGTCCACGCCCTTGAATGAATGGCAGGTTTTATCACTAGGTGCTAGCTTTAACACAACATAATGCCCTATAAAGAAAACCATACCATAGAGTTCATATTATAAAGTGGCTCTCGAGTGGAGAGCAATGGTTCAAATAGTCAGACTAGCAGCCCAACTAGCCAGATAGGGACATGGGAAACTGCCTTCTATGAGGTCACATTATTTGTCCTTCCAGCTCTGTATTGTCTACTGTTGGTTGTCTCCAGGAAATGTTGGGGATTGAATCTGGCACCTCCTTCTGCATGCATAACGTGTGCTCTTACCACTAAGCTACCACCCCTTCTGGGTAGCAGAGTCAGCTGGGTCAGATTTTGGATCCCATTAAAAGTCTTCATCTTCTCGGTTTTATATATGTTAGGGATAACAGGGGTGGTTCATGTACATAAAACCCAGCCACTGTGCACATTCACCATACCTCCTTGAGAATGTGTGCATAATCCATCCATGAAGGGGGAAATGTGTGTATATCCTGTTCAATATACATCATCTCCTATGAGCCTCGGGGAATGTGCATATGTCAACTGAATTTTCTACATTTTGTGGCCAATATACATTGTATCCAACAGGTCAGATTGCACACATTTGAACAAGAGATATAAAACAAGAGCATGTTTCTTGGAAACTATGCAAACTGACCAGAGAATGTGCATCAGTGAGTCTTCGGGGCCCACAGTAAACTACTCTGAAATCAGAGAAGATGCAGTGAAACTCTTTAAATTAATTTAAGTTACATCAGAACGGGTCTCTTTTTCTCCTTCAGTAGACTTGGGTTGCAGACTTGGGTACTTTATTCTCATCTTTGCAAGTCAGAAGAGGTTTTTAAGGGTTTTCAGGTGGTTGTTTTTAAATGTGTATACCTGCCTCTTGGAAATCTCATCTGTCACATAAACAGTGAAGGGTTTGCCTGAGGTCAGGGCACAGAAAGGCCGGCTGATAGGAAAGGCTCTTTTAAAGACTATTTGGAAGATCGGTGGAGAGACAAGGTAGGAAATACAGGGGGGCCCATCAATCAAAGGCATAACTAATGCAGAGACAGGATTCTGAAAGGGCATAGGACTAGCATGGATAGACATGACAGATGATTCCACCTTGAGGGCTGGCAATCCCATTAGGCAGCCTGAGGCGGCCGCCTCAGGAGACAGATGCTGTGAGGCAGGCAGGGAGCAGCAGCAAGGTGTCGAAGGACAGAGTTGTGTGTGTCACGCAGCCTGCCTGCCTGCCCCACAGCTCGTAAACCAGCCAGCTGCCCTAAGATGTGGTGAAGGCAGTGTTGATGTAACTTTCGGCTTCCAGCCAGGTTGCATTACGCGCCATCTTGTTCTTCAGTTCAGGCAGCAAAATATCTTTGGGTTGCTGTGCACCCAGTCACCTCCTCACTTATTCTGCTTATGTTCCAAAGAATGAGGAACTTAGCTGTGTCCTGCCTACCATCCAAAACAGAGGCTCTTACATGGAAGTAAGAAAGAGATCTTCTTCTTTTCCTGGGCAAGCAACAGGATAGTTTAGCAGTCCATAAAGCATGATTCAAAAGTACAGTGGTACCTTGGTTCTCGAACGGCTTAGTTGTCGAACAAATCTGCTCCCGAATGCCGCAAATCTGGAAGTAAGTATTCTGGTTTGTGAACATTTTTTGGAAGCTGAACATCCGACACGGCTTCTGCTTGAGCTCAGGAAGCTCCTGCAGCCAATTGGAAGCCACACCTTTGTTTTCGAATGGTTCCAGGAGTCTAAAGGACTCCCAGAACGGATTAAGTTCGAGAAACAAGGTACCACTGTACAGGAGCAAGGCAAGATATTCAGAATTGAACAGAAGTAGTGGAGATGTCCGAACAGTTGGCACAGCCCTCTTGCCCAGCTTTTAAAGATAAGGTATGGTGAGCTCACTCATGAGAGTCTCTCACCAGACAGGAAGTCCATGAGTGCAGTCCGATCCGATCTGCAGAGGTGGTGTCTTGTTGGCAACAAGACTGCCGCCCTTCCCCATAGCAACCTCTGTCTTCTGCTATGTCCCCAACTGGCTGTTCTCAATCTTCCACCTCCCTCCACAATGAGGCTCTGCTTCCCACTCTGCAACAACTGGAATCACAAGACTACTGACAGAGTCGAGGGGCCCATGACACCCCAAGAGTGACTTTCAACGAGCGAAGACTCACAGTCAATATGGAAAGTAAGCCTAGTTGCTTTATTTAATTGGACAGAACCAATTAAGGCACTTACTTTGTTCAATTTATCTCCAGTTTCAGTGTTATAGAAACCAGTACCAGTTGAATAGGTGTCAAGGAAAATGGACACGATTCACTAAAAGTTGCAAAAGTTGCTTTCACCGCAGCCACAATGACCTTTTGATGATTGTGCTCCAAATTTGTCTGTCTCCATAAATTATCTTTATGTTGGTAGCACTGGCTCTTAAATAAGAACTGGGTATATTTAATTAAAATAACTTCTAAGTGATATTCTCTTGGTTTTAGGCATTATGAAAATGCGTACATGCAAGCCATGGAGAGGTTGGCAGATGCTGAAGCCCCGTTTTATAACTTTGCTGGGAACCACGCAGAATGGTTTTCATTTATCCGGAGCTGGAATGCTCTGTTCCTTTTAAACCAATTTTTACAAAGAGGTCAATGTGTGATATGTAGCTCTGCTACATATATGTAGCCATTTTTTAAACAGGTGGATGAAATACCTTTTAAAGAGCTGCCTGTATTTTCTGGCCATAGAGTGAGTATTACGGATTTCAAAAGTACTTAACACTCAAGAGATACTAATTTGAATAACTACTGCTTAAAAGATGTACTGGAGTAGGCAGGAAAGCCAAGTGGAACTGGAGTGGTTGAGAGAAGGATCTTGGTAGGCCAAAAGGAAAAGACAGAGAAAACGAAATGAAGTAAAAGGTATAGAAAACATATAATTGGCTTTGTATGCATTCTGTAAAATTAGAAAAATGAAAACTTTCAAATGAAAAACTGTTTTCCTCAGCAGACAGATCACCTATAATTTTAGGCTATATTTTGCAATTCCATAAAGTACAATTTTTTAAAACGCAATCATTTTTTAAAAAATCATGCATACTCTGCAAATGTTCAGATTTTGAATATTTTAAAATATAGACAATGCAGAAGAATGAAGAAGGAAAATATTTGATCTGTACTCCTGAAAGTCTCACTAGTTAGAAATGAGACTTGAAAGCTACAAGGTAACAGCAATTTTTTCTTGTGTGGAACAGTCTTCCACACAAAGAACAGGACTGTCTCTCGTTCTCCCCCGTGCAGCCCCTCATATGCCAACCAGATTGGGAGCAGATTTGGGAAGACCTGCATGGGAGGGTAGAGGAAGAAGTCCTACTGCATAACCAAAAGCCCACTTGCATAATAATGGATTCCACCCATAAGGCATCAGCATCAAGACTTCTTACAAGCTGAGCATGTTTTGTCATTTGCCTCCTCCAGTACTGTTCTGAAACCACCACTAACTTCTGTTAAACTTGAGTACTTATCTGCTTCCAAGTGAAAATGGCGACGAGCAAGGCTGCTTTGTCCTTGAGCTCTGCGATCTGTTTTAGTTTTAAGCTGTTTTTATCTTGAATAGTAGCCGGTTGGCTTTCAGCAGTTAATGTTAATTGCTATAAAACAGGCAAGGACCATATCTCTTTTATCTCTTTTACTTCTATGTGGACTTAAAAGCCGTATATTTTAATTGGACGACAGGAGCTGGGGGAGCAGTTGTTTTGGTTCAGCATTTTAAACTGATAAGAAACACTTAGAAGACCATCTTGAGCAAGGGATACACTGCAGATTTAACAGTTTTAATATGGCTATTAGACAGACACAGACCCGTAGTGAGTGCTTCAGTTAAAACGTCCACAACTCCATTGCCAAATTTAGTCCAGAAATCTATGCTGGACTGTTGTGACTCAGCAAGTGAAGCAGAGGCAACCACAAAGTGATTGCGGCAAAAGGGAATTAATATATCTTGAATGGACAGCCCTGGACCTTTACAAATGTGCAAGTAATGGGGTTGAAGAAGCCTTATCCCAAGTTGGAGGTTTTGCTACATATTCCTTTAGGGTCATTCCAAATCAAATCAATGCAAAAAACAAGGCTTTCGCCACACACCGTCTCAGATTTTGATGAAACTTGGTGTACACCCTTCCCTTATGGTTGAAGGAAACCCCCTTAAATTTTTTCCCTCTATCTCAAATGGTTAAATTTTATAGCACTTCAAAGTTCCGTGAAATCTGTGTTTCTGTCCCTCTTGAGATCCTCAATCTTGTGTGCATTTTTTTCTTCTTCTCCATAACCAATGATCAGATCTCTTTGAAATTTTACACAGAGATCAATAACATAAATGTAGCTTTTTTCATGAAAAACTAGGTTTAGGAAACTTAAATTTTCAGTGTTAGGGCACAATGCAATCAAAAGTTTCTGATGGTGAAAATTATTGCAAAGGCATGCTCTTTCTCAACAAAGAATAAAATTTATGGGTCTCTTATGTCTTGTAACAAAATTTTTCGTTTTTGGACACCGTGGGGGGAAGATGGCTACTGGGTATAACTTTCCTACAATCCATAGCTGTAAAAGAAAAAAATAATGAAACAAAGTTGTTCATCTTAAAATCTAAAATAATATTAATTGCAGGTTTTTTTCCAAAAGTGCAGACTTGTTTTTCCGTTTTGGGTATTTAAAACTATGAAAATTGGCTATATCGTGAAATCAATAATAATTAAAAAAAAATCGGTCAGAAACTTTAAATGGATTCTCTTCTCTCCAAACTGGTCTTTTCTTCTAAACTTATATCTTCAGGTTGAACGCAACTGCCTTCAACATCACCTTGATCTACATCGCTGCTATAAATAATTTGTCTACATCTTCTGCACAATTTATCTCCTGGCTTTATACTTTAATTCCTTTCTCTAGCAAATCTTTAGACTGCTGTAATGTTATGGGGCTTAGATATTTTTTGACTGATCCTTTGTGCTTTTTAAAAGGATCCCTGCAGGTTTTTTTGAAGATATTCAAATTTCTTCAAGTATACACTTTGTGATGCAAGCAAATAGTTTCTAAGACTTCAGCTTTAGCTTCAGTTCTTAAATGCAACAGCTCTCTGTCCTCTTCGCTTAAACTGTTAACATTCTCAATCCCTTTTCTGTGACTGAAAGTTAGCTGATGGCATTCACTAGAAGTTAACTCTCCCACACTACATATTGAATCTTCCATCTTATTCCAGCTGAAAAACACAGCAAGAGCTAGCACCCAAAAAATCAAAGATTGGATAAATTATAAGAGTGCACCACACGGCTTTGCTCACAGATACCAGAAGTAGATTGACTTCAAGGTGGAGGAAGGCCTTGCCTGGTGAAGTCTCTCCCCTCACAGATCTTCCTCCAGGCACAGCTTCCTTATGAGGAGTCCCAGGGCTGGGGGGTGGGGCAAGGCAGGTGGAAGAAGGCCATGTCTCTCCCCTCACCTCACCTCATAATAGCATACACATCTAGCATATACGAAAGACTTCTCTGAACTGCAATCTGAGAAAACATTTTAAAATGTCTCATATTTTTAATATTTCTGAAATGAATAATTTTTTTATTAATTTAACCCTAATTTGATGTACTCATAATTGAATATAATGCATGATTTTACATTCTTTTAATCTTTTTATTTCTAGGTCTTATTTCCTTATGTGTCAGCATTTCTGACTGATTTTTTCTTTTTTAGATTTATTAATACTATTGCCTATTGTAAGTTTGTCCTGACCTTTGGCCAGAACAATAAACTAGTGAACTTGAGTACTTAATCTGCCAGGAAATGCCAACCAGGTTTTGTGAAGATGGAAATTCTTCTGAATACATTGATATATATAATCATGTTTTCATCCATCATTAACCTTCCTAAATCATCATATGCCTTTGGATTATTGACATTACTTATCCCCTGTGCAGACCAACATTCCCAAACCAGGGTTTGAAGGGGGGTTTGCAACCCCATAAGCTATGGTTAGCACTGATTGCTAATTAATCTCTTTATCTTCTTTCTCTCCCTTCTTCTCCATATATATATATATATATCCTTACTCTTACTGGACCACAACAAAGGAAACCGCTGAGAAAAGAAGAGAATGGAACAAGTCGAGCTGAATATGCAATGACCTCCTCCCAAAACAACAAGACAGTTGATGCTAACAATGCGGTGGTATAATTTTCGAGGCTCCTCTTGAGTAGTAAACATTCAAAAGCACATGCGGCGCCTGCAAGTTGGGTGGAATGAGAGCATCGAGAGAAGCCCTGTGGCCCAGGACTTCATTTCAGAAATTGTGCACGTATCAGTTACCCTGAGAAGAAAAGCAGACGAGACTCCTCTTTGTCTAGTTGATTGTCACAAAGGGAGGGATGAACTTGCCAGTCAGGGCTACTCTGAGAAAAGACCTCACAAAAAGGCACACACTCACTGCATGCCGCGTTAGAACAAAGCAACATCATTCCGCTCCTTTCCTTTCCTTCTTATTTTTGATTGACAGTTCGTTTTTTTAAAAAAATGCTTCAGTAGGATCCTTTGATGGCAAAGGTGATCCATCTGTGGCAGCAGCCAATGGTAATTGGGTCTGAAATCTCAAGCTTTACTTGCATGGCTTTGCACTTTTCTTTACCTTTTACCAGCCACATCCATCCCCATTCTGAATTGTTATTGCATTGTTAAGTGGCAGAGTTTCCATTGACCCCAAGGCAGCCTCCTGAAAAATTGCATGATGTCATGAAATACACAACCACATCTACAGCCTGGTGACTATGCAATTTCCACAGCAGGAGACTTTTCAGACCGAAAGTAGTCACAGTAGGATCCGTAGCACTTAGCGTTGCTGATAAAAGAGAAAATTATTATAGGTAATAACATTCAAAGGTGCTTTGAATACTGTTTAACCCACAATCAGTCTTATTTCCCCATTTTGTTACCATGTAGCATTTTCTCCCTGGGTTTTGAGAAGTTCCAAATTTTTGTGTTGCTCAGTTAACAGTTTTGCACAATTTTGCACATGTATTTACACCACACAGATCTGTAGGAAGGATCTCTCTAGAATGGCTTTAAAAGAATCAGGTTTATGTGTGGAGGGAGACTGGCTGCAGTGAAAATTGAAGTCCTCCTAGCCCTCCTTGCAAGCTCAGATCTCTGGTTTCCTGGGGGACTTCTTCTGAATAAAGGACTCTCTGCTTTAGGGAGAAAGCTGTGAAAGCTCAGTCCTCTCTCTTGACAAGGGACTGCCAACTGTGCCAAAATTATATGTGATAGCTCGTGTGTTGTACCACTTTGTGATCAGGACTGCAAATGACTTCGAAGCTGAACCCGCCAAACCCATTTTTGCGCGATACCTTATTAGGCTCAGTCACTTTAATTTCTTTAAAGAAACAGTTGGTGTTCAGACACTGGTATCCGCCCACACCTGGATTAAGATGGAAAAAAGAAAAAACAACCCACGAAAATAATTTCTGTCTTTCCTCTTGTACGCCTTCATTTGCCTCTGTTCCGAGAGCCGCATCAACGAAAACCAAAATGTGCTTCTTGTCTTGCTGTCAGGCTTCAGTGATATTCCGTCTTTGTGTCTTCAAGCAATCCAAACCAAGCCATCATAGCCCTGTTTGTATAGAATCACTGCATTTCATCAGTACAGCCTATTAGTGCTGAGAAGCTGGTGTTCTGGCCCATTTCATCCAAGGATGGGCCCAGTCTACGAAGCCTACAGTGAGACTCCAAAGAGCTGAACCTTCATCCAGAACCCTATATCTGTACCAACAAGGAGGTATGGGGAAATTCCTATTAGCAGGTGGTGGGGTACAGGGGTGCCAACTTGAATAAAATATTGGGGGACCAGATAGGCCCCACCTCACATAATCAATCACAAGATGCAGCTCACACACCATTTAAATGGCAATAGCCATCACATGAGGGGACTGTCCCCTCAAATATTTCAGTGGGGGGCCAAAGGGACCTCAGCGCCTAGGAGTTGGCTCCTTTGGTACACTCAATGATCACTACCACCATATTCATCTCTGGCAAGGTCACTGGCTCATGGTGTCAAAGTTAATTGTCAACTAGGTCATACTCACAGCCAACCAGAAATGGATCTGCTGTGAGTATGACTAACATGAAGCATCTGTGATATTTGGAGACGTGAGGGTTTGGTTAACCATTATTTTCTTTTCAGAGGAAAAACACGGTTTTAGTAACAGAAGAGATGGTGCTAGGTGTGTCCACACAGCATCTCTCTATGTAGACTGTCTCTCACGTAATGTTCTGCATCTCAACACCTTTCTTAAAAGATAAAAGCGAGCGAGAGAGAGAGAGAGAGAGGGCACAGGGAAACTCAAGGCTAACCCCCATTGTTATTTCTTCTTATCATTATTAATAATTAGATTTCTTACCTGACCTTCACCATAAGATGCCAGGGCAGATTATAGCCATTTCTTAAGATTAAATATTAAAAATCAGTTTACAAGAAATTATAATAACAGGAAAAATGTGGGTCCTGGAAATATATCCCTCAGGTGTCAAAGGCCAGGGAAAGGAAATGAGTCTTCAGCATTTGACAAAAACTGTGCAATGAAGGTGCATCTCTGTGGGGAAGAAATTCCACAACCTCAGTGGTGCCACAGAGAATGCCTCCTCCCCCCCCCCCCAATTCTGAGAGTTGTAGAACTACCAAGAGCCCCCACCCCACTGATTTCAGCACCCAAGAGGTTGGTAGGGAAGGAGGCCATCTTTCAGACCTAAGTCATTTTGGCCTTAACATTTGAATCTTTGAGCCCAGAATGGTACCACGTGGAGTTCCTCTATAGAAAATACCTTCTGACTGGGCCCTAAGACCTATCCTCCATGAAATATTTGGGATTTGGGTTTTTACGAAATTCCTAATAGTGTTGTGTATCTGGGAAAACAAGACAAAAAAGCTGCTATTTACCTTTACAAAAGAATTCAGTGGAAATTCATTCACTTCACTGACTGACCTTTCTTCCCTGTCTGAGAATATAGCTAGAAAGGTGGTTGTGTTTTTTAATATATTTTTTACCCTTTATATCCTTTTAAATGTCAAGACTTGCTGAAGGTAGAATGAAAAAAGAAAGAGTCGTTCACTCCACACTCCTTCCAGTTAGTTTGGTGCACCTGCCCAGCTGGAAGGAAACAGCTTCTGCGTTCTTGGAGCATAGAGTTGCTCAAAAACAGTTGCCATTTTTTGACCTGGGGTTGCTTTGATCAACATGGAATCCACTGTCACTTAATATTTATAATTGCACTTTTCCCCTTAATGCTGCAACGATTGTTATCTGGGTCGGTTTGCTTTTTCTACACTGCCAAGCTATTTTCAGTGTAGTTGACCCCCCCCATCCTTTCTATTTTATTGTGTCATAGGTATGACATGGTGCAAGAATAAAAGAGAGATAGAGAGATTTTGAAATACGTTTATTTTAATTCGATGTGATATGCTTTATATCAGGCATCCCAAAACTTGGCCCTCCAGCTGTTTTGGGGCTACAACTCCCATCATCCCTAGCTAACAGGACCAGTGGTCAGGGGTGATGGGAGTTGTAGTCCCAAAACAGCTGGAGTTCCGAGTTTGGGGATGCCTGCTTTATATGTGCTGTACACACAACCAGTCATTTAGAAGAGATGTGCTGGGGCAAGAACATCTGCCTTGAGGTCCCAAGTTCAGTCCACAGCATCTCCCTCATCTGAAGGTCTGGTGTAAACCAGGATTTCCCATACTTGAGAGCCAGTGTGGTGTAGTGGTTAAGAGCAGTAGTCTCGTAATCTGAGGAACCAGGTTCACGTCTCCGCTCCTCCACCTGCAGCTGCTGGGTGACCTTGGGCCAGTCACACTTCTTTGAAGTCTCTCAGCCCCACTCACCTCACAGAGTGTTTGTTGTGGGGGAGGAAGGGAAAGGAGAATGTTAGCCGCTTTGAGACTCCTTAAAGGGAGTGAAAGGCGGGATATCAAATCCAAACTCTTCTTCTTCTTCTTCTACTTGGGTCTCTAGCGGATCTTTGCACCCTGGCGCCACATATGCTTAAGACAGCCCTGGGTCCAACCCTCTGCAATGCAGAAATCTTTTGCTCAACGTGGGGCACGAACTCACAACTCTGAGAATAAGAGTTTGTCCTAATCTCCAACTGAGCTAAAAATCAGAACATAAAGATATGAATGAGGTAGATCCCTAATACTGCACCACTGAAGAGGGCAGATGGAGGGACTTGTGTCTATATGACACACCCAAAAAACTTGTAACTGGGAGCAGGGAGGAGCTAGCGTGCCAGATACCTTTTTGCGTCCCCTACATTTTGTATGTGGAGACATTCTATTTTATTTTTTACAATGGGGAGTAAAACCATGTACGTGCTTAGAGGATGGTACCATATGATTCTTTTGAGCATATGGCTCGGTCCTCAGTCCTCAGAGCTGAAGGGCAAGTTAAGCAATGCTTTCAGGAGCTGACTCCTAGAGCTTTGAAATATAACCGAGGTTTTGTTCAAAACTGCACCAGTTGCTTGCAAAAAAACCACACAAACAAACCTTTCCATTAAATACCAGTGAAATGTACAAGTCTTGACAGATAAAAGCTTCTTTACAATGGGGACCCATTACACTGAAAAGATAGCAATTTACAGGGATTTAAAGTTTATTTTTTATTCTCTAAAATTAGATGCTGAAATGCTCTACATACCTAGGGGGCATGTAGTGAGCAAGCTTTTCAGCTGGGTATATCCTAGCATTGCCCTGCCTAAGACTAGCAGATTGTGTGCCATAATTTGACCCAAAGAGCTAAGATTTCCATATTTTGCAACTTTGTTCCATAATAAAAAAGATTTATGGCATAGATACTGTATACAGAGAGGGCATGATCCAGCATCATTCAAGCACTTCTGAATCCCATTTATTTCAGTGGGCGAGTAGAAGAAAGCACGTTTTCTTAATTTTTAAAAAAATGAATAAAATAACCCCCTTGAAATGGAGCTTAAAAGTGCTTAAATTTGTCTGGATGCTAGCCATATATTATATAGCTATGAACCTGAATTTCCATTGTCTCACACTTTGCAGTTTGGTTTATACCATGCAGGACTGAGTATAAACCTGTCCCTGTACCCATTTTGTACTCGCTCTGCACAGGTATATAAAACAACTCTAAAGTCCAAGACAATGGAGAATCGTGACT